ACCCCTAAAATATTTGTTGGAGTGAAAATCTGCAACTAAAGACTCATTCTAGTATTTGCTAGAAGTTTTAGTTGTAGTCTTTAGTATTCAGTAATAGATGGTGAGTAAAGAAAGAGTTCCCTTGAAGTATATGTGGAAAATATTAAGAATCTTTTGGTTTTATCTTCTTAATGCTGTTTATTACACACATAGCCACCTTTGGCCTAAGTTATTAAAAATATAAGTCAATTTGCATGTGAGCTATGTGTTTTCAGATACAGTAAAAATACTGTGATTATAAATTGTGACCATTGGTAGTAATTTAGAAGCATGGTTTATAGTAACTGTCAAAACAAAACAAAAAAAAAACCCCTCACTTTCATAATTTAAAATACTCCCCTTTATCGCAAAGGGCTAGTAATGTACAACCATAATAATGTTGATCAATAAGATATAGAAATGTGATTAGACTCAGACTTTTCATTCTGAAATGAACCTTAGGAATTATCTGATCCTTAATGGGATTGGTTTAAAAAAAAAAAAAATCCCAGGATTGTAAGACGTTTAAGTAGAATAATATTGGCCATATGTTAATAATTGTTGAAGTTGAGTGATAGGCACAGGAGATCTATTTATTCTCCCTACTACTGCATATATTTAAATATTTCAATAATAAAAGAAAGTTTAAAACAATTGGGAGGGAATCATGCAGTCCTAAATATTTATGGAGCTATTTCTCAATGATGGCCTAAGATTTCTATCATCCTGAGATTAAAGGGTGAAACCTAAAAACATGTATAGCAGCAAATATTATCTAGTTAGAATTTAAAGAATAAACATACTTATTTCTTTCTTCTTTGATGACAGCTAGAAAGGTATGTGTCATTTTTCTGGGGTCTGTAAAATCACACATTTTATATTAAGTAAAATAATTTATGTGATTGAAGCTTCACTAGTTTATCAATATTGGAGGGGAGAAATGGCCTTTCTTTCTTTCTTTCTTTCCTTTCTTTCTTTCTTTCTTCTTTCTTTCTTTCTTTCTGATGCACTTTATTTTACCTTCTCTGAATACTTAATGCACAGGTGAAACTTTTGGTAAATAAATAATCATTCTCTAAAGCTACGCAATTTAAAATGCATTTACGAAAGGTGGTGGGTCATCATTTATGGTAATGGAGTGTGAACAAAAAATTAATTCAAAGTATGAGGGAAAAAACTGGTTTCAGGCAGCAATCATAAAACTTGTAGTCTTTGAGACTTTGGTCTCAAGAACATGTACCAGCCAGAAGCCTGCCAGCCACTGGTTATAGCTCACAGCCATCAAGTGCCCACAAACCCTCAACCCAGTCTTTTCAGTACTTTGATGATAAGTTGACTTTATAATTGCTGTATGGGCTTACAAAGGAGGCATTTATTAAAGAGTGAAACCAGGTTTTGCTTTGCCATGTTAGAAGAGAAGATGACAAACATAGAAAAATGATTTTGCCTTAGAGTAAATTACTTCAAAGTAAGATTTTCAGAAAACCCATTGGATTTATCCTCCTTGGCAGTATCCAGGAAAGGTTAAGTAACTTGCTGGAGGACACACCCTGAATTAATTGCATAGCTGAAACCAGATTCCAAGTCTCCTAGTTTATATGGTGCAGTGATTTTTCAGCTCCTGTTAAGAGAGTAAGCAATGGAAATGGATTCTATACTTATAAATTTACTACAGTCCTTTATAGTCAAATGAAGAAACACACTTAAAAGTTTTTTCCCTTCTATGGCATAAATACATTAAAAACTTTGAAACTCTAGCAGGCTGAACATATTCACCTAAGAAAGAGTTGAACATCCTACATTGACTCTATTTTGAATAGTTTTAAAAAATTATTGCCTTACTAACTTCCATTTATGATGAGTTCCCTGACATGCCCTCATAGACTATTCCTTTTGCTTCATATTGTGATGTCCTAGTGATAAATTGAAGAACTGCTAAACTGTGCCCAGAAGGGTATCTACCAGATAGAAATGTCCATTTAAGGGGAAATTTTAAATATCTTTTTCATCCTTTAGCCTATTTTGTAAGATGTTTTTTTACGATCATTGGTATTCTCATTAATCCAGATGTAAGGTTCACAGTTACCTCCGGTGTTCAGCCAGGAGCAAAGCAATTTCCTGGACCAAACCCTGAAGTTCAGGTTTAATCAGAAAACATAGGTTTTATTCCCAAGATTGCCTTTAAAAAGCAAGCGACTAGGGCTCTGTCTCATGGGATCCCCAATTAACCGAGGAAAAGGAAATTGCCTTCTCCCTAAATGAATAGTTGCTGATAGTCTGGCCATGGGATCTTGATTAACTAGAATATTGACAATTTTAAAAGTTTTTCTCAAATCAACTCAAATAAATGAATTTCTTAACCAAATAATCTCTTCAACATTCATGGGCATTTTAACACATTCCTCAATTCTGTGCTCTCATTGATTTTCTAGTTACGGAAAATGAAAAGTTCCATCTGAATCACTCAGCTGCCTTATGAGGATAGAATCCATTCAGAGAAAAAAATCGAATTTTTAATTGCCTGGAGAAAAACCTCAAATGTTTCATCCATCTGTAATAGAATGCAGTGTATATAGACAGGTGCGCTCCAATATAATAGCCGCAGCCACACATGCTGCTCTTTTTTTTTTTCTTGAGCCCTTGAAATGTGGCTAGTACAAATTGAGATCTGCTACACACCAGATTTCAAAGACATAGTGTGAAAAACAAATGTAAAGTGTCTCGTTAATATTTTTTATTGATTTCATGTTGAAATAATATTTTATCGAAGTCTCCTAAGTAAAATATATTATTAAATATATTATTAAAACAGTCCATGATCAGATTCCTCCTCCAAGGTGGGATGCCACCATAGTAATGAATTATTGCCAACATTAAGAATATGATATTGTACAAAAGTTAAGTACATTTTTAAAATTTAAGGGTCCAAATCTGAACCCAAATTATTTTATTAATTTCCTTTTACTTTTTTAAAAGGAGCTACTAGAAATTTTTGAATTACATACATGACGTGCATCTCTAGCTGGTGTAGATAACTGGTTTCTGCCCTGCTCGTTCAGCCTCAATTTCTGTGGACTCTGATTATCTGTATGTTACACTGATGTGAACATATGATGTCAGCTTTCAATTATCTGTACAAATAGGGACTGAGGATACTTAGAATTAAGATATTCCTCATGTAATTCACGACTAAATTTTAACTCTTGATTTCACTCAATTTTACCCCCAGTGCTTTAGGAAAACAGTAAGATGATCGGATTTGAGATTGATTCTCTTCCCCCTTCCTTTTTAAATGTGGGTTACACACAGGAAACAAGGAGAAATGAAATACGCAACAGGGATGGAAGAGAAAAGAAATAGGAGGCAAGGATGGATAAGAAATGAGGTCATCTGTTCTTAAGTGGTAGAGAGCAGGCAGCCTTCAAATCCACTTTATGGATTCAGTACTGTCTTTTGATGACCTGCTGTATGGTAGGCTCTTGTTTGGCATTGAGGAGGAGTAGCCCACAACCTCCAGTTAATATACAATGACTTACCACATTGAATTGCACTGGTTACCCAAGTGTCGCACTAGTCAAAAAAAAAATCTTGGGGGAAAACAAAGTTGGAAGAAAGCCTTATTTACATAGAGAAGTAGAAGAACATGGAGACGAGAAGTCAGTCACTTGGAGCAAACAGCCCAAATTAGAGTTAGCTTACAGTGGGTATGCTAATGATACATCAAAGCCCAAAGAAGCAATCAACCTTGAGCATAGCAAGGACAAGAACTTTGATCACCTTCAAATAAAGTCCTTACAATAAATACCGAATATTTATTTCACACCAGTCCCATTTTAGAGGGGGGAAAATTGTCCTTGTCTGAGACTTCTTAGCTAGGAATGTGGGAACACATCATCCCAGCCTTAAACTAATTTAGACCACTTAAATAGAATAAAGTTGTTCTTTAATAATGGTAATTAAGATGTCCCCAGTGTTTCCACCCCTTACTGGAAAAGATTGTTTTGGGGGAACTCAGTGGGTAACTCAGTCTAACCATTGGAGACAGGTAGGTGCCAGATAGGCTAAATTAAGTGGGTGCATCTGAAATTATTCAAAGTCATATCTAAAAGAGAAATTAGATTTGTTCTTAACTTGAGAGAAACAGAGCTATTTCCTTCCCCCATTAGATCCAGATTATCCTACTGACAAGGAAGGTCTTCAAAATCAGGTCACAAAAAGCCATAAATGAGCTTTTGACATTTTTTATACAACTTACTTTTTATTTCTACTCAGCCTACCTTTTTAGTAGTCAGTCAGTCATGAGACTTCTTACCTTTGTACAATACTACCAGCACATCCAGCAATTTTCAGGCAAAGACATATCGAATCTGAAACTTCCTCTACAGGAATAGCATTCTTGTCGCCAGATACTATCTTTAAATCTTTTTAGAACTGTAATCCTTTTCTTCTTGTTTTTAAAGAAAACGCTTCTATGTGTTCTTTCATTCAATCTTCTTAAAGATGATGATTAGAGAAGTTTTATTATCATTATTTTAGATGAATAAAGTGAAGCCCAGGGAGGTTAATGGAAAGAAGTCCAGATAGTCCACATCAATGAGATTAACCTCTTACCATGCCTCAAAGACTCATTCACTTTGATAGGCTTTCCACCACCCTGCCTTTAGTTTCTTTTTCTCTCTGTTCTCTTTGTATTCTGAAGGTACCCAAATCTAACCGTTTTTTTTTTTTAGGTAATATTTTCACCAGTAGAAGAACTGCCCAAGCTCCTTTACCACCCTTGCAGTCTTGCTGTGCCTGAAATCACTCACAAAACGAACCCATCAGCTCCCAGGGCAAAAAGATAATTATCTTATTCAAATGCTAGAATATTCCTCTTTTGCATGTGTTCTAAAATTTTATGTCAATTGTTTTGATTTGGCTTTGAACGTTTTATGGATCCCTGCATTGACCAAATACTGTTTTTGCTACCTGTAAAAATGCAGAACGTAGCGGTGGCGCCGGGTTTGGCCGACAGGGTTGCTAACGGTGATGGGATGCCTGAAGATGAAGAAGCCGAAAACAAGGAAGGGGAGGATAAAGCCGGCGCTGTGAAGTTTGGATGGGTGAAAGGTGTGCTGGTGAGAAAGCTCCTACGTTTCCAAATGAAATCTGTTTGTTCAGTGTCCTTGGGGTTTAAGTGTTGGCAAAGCCTGGACACCAGAATTACAGACAGGGCTGGGTTTTGCCCCACTCTCATGTCTCACATCCCTTTCGATGCTCCTTCAACCCACAGGTAAGATGCATGCTGAACATCTGGGGTGTCATGCTCTTCATTCGCCTCTCCTGGATTGTTGGAGAAGCTGGAATTGGTAAGCAGGTTTCCCCATGCCCCTTATAGAGTTTTCAATGTCAGTGATAAACTCCATAAGCAACTTGTTTTGACCATTAATGCTAAATGTGAGACAGAGGTCACAGAAATAATCTGCACTCCAGCTCTTTCACTTTGCCTCTTTGACAATGTTTGTCAGAGAGGAAAGGTGAAGCGTTAACTTCGGGGAGGCTGGAATTTTCCAGCTCGTTAACCAGATAAATGCTCAAGCAAGTATTTCTATCTTTTCATTGAGTTTTAGGTGTATAGATATATAGAGACACATATATTTGAAATAGTACTATTCCTATTGGGAGATATACTGATATTTGTGCATTCCCCCCTTATGATTTTGGCAAAATTTCACTCAACAAAAACAGTTTGTGGGAAAAGTGGTAACAATGTGACTGGACTAATGCTGAATTAGTTGAACATTTTCCAAAGAAAATAATTGTGTTACTTTCAGGTACCAGTGGTAGGAAAACAAAGGTTAATAAAATATTGCCAGATAGAGGCTTAAAAATAATAGATAAAATTACTAAGATAACATATATAACTATTACTAATTTTTCTAATGGAAAATGCATGATGTTGAAATTATTTCGAGTGATCATTTGATGTTTTTAAAGATGATATTTTATTTAAAATATCATTTCCCTTGGCAAACCTTTTTTTTTTTATCGAGAGTATACTGGTAAAATTTATATGAAAATTTTATTTGAATTTTATCAAAGTTCCTGATTTAATGCGATAAAAATTAATGATGTTCTACCCTGTATATGGGAAATACATTATAGATCCACTTTTGGAGAAGACCTATAAATCATTACTATCAAGAACGTAGAGGCTCAGATGTGCTTTTAGATAACTGCTCCAGAATGTATCTCAAATCACATTCAAAGGTACTTCATCCTTATTTACTGCCTTTGCCACTCAAAACATACTGAGCATCACCAGAAGACTAACTCGCAACAAGAAAGGGCCGCGCTGTAAATTGAAACACTGGAACCAGTTCCCATCGTTTTTCCATGTTTCATGTTTGGCAACTGCTGGGTTCCTGACAAAGGGCAGCTTGCCAACTTTATGATGCATATCAAATGAATGCTTATAGCCGCAGGGTCCAAAATAAGTATATGCTGTTTCATGGAAAATCTGCATCTTAATATTGCCAAGTGTTTGCTCCAGGGTTTCATGCAAAATTAGTTTTTTAAGGGCAGTTTAGTAACTTATTGAGATCATCAAGCAACATTACTCTGTTTGGAGGTGTGAGTGTAGCCAAGGGCAAGAGTAATTCTTTCTAATGCAATTTATTTAACATCCATGTGTTTGGGCAATAATCTGAACTTTAATCAGATCTTACATTATTCTTCTCAGTTTCACGCTTATTACAAAATTGTAAAATATGAAGAACCCTATCTTCAGTATTATACCTTCAGACATCAGTATTGTTTTAATAAGGACTTTTTATTTAAGTAGTCCTATTCTACTTTAAATGGGTGTCTAGCAGGTTTTCCTTTGAATGAAGGTTTGTTTGTCGTGGTTGTTTTAGTTCTCAGAAAGTAGACTTTAGTGAGTCGTAGAAACTTATTACCACCCTTACTCAGTTTTACTGGCCTTTGCTGTGAACTTAAAGCTAAATGAGCTGATTAAGTCACCTTCTGGGTCCCATTTGGAGTCCCTTTATTAGGTAAGAAAAGAAGCAAACCCAAGGAGTTTCTCCTTGTTGTGGGGATAGTTTGGGGAAGAAACCTGAATACACTTTCAAGAGGAGACCCTGGGAACAAAGCCAGAAGGAAGCTGGAGCCACGAGTCACAATAGCTATAGCCCTTGGGTAACTGTTCTAGCGCTGTGAGTTTGGGCTCTCTTTTCGCCAAAAGCAAATGGTAGAATAAGCCACGAATGCCATTGACTTGTTCTTCTCTGTCTCAGAGACTTTGGCTGGGGTAAGATAGTTTCTAATAAACATCAGGCATGGAAGAAGGGTATGAAAAAGGTATGACCTGAAGCAAGTCATTTATACTCCATGAGCTTCATTTTCTCATCTGAAAATGAAGGAGCTGGATTAATTGTTTCCCAGTCAATTCTTTGCAGATAAAGCTAAAGAACCTTGCTGTCTAGGCAGACACAAATTGAGATAGGCTAGGGTAGTGCAACAGTCTTCAGACTGTGGGGTGCCTAAGAATGACCTGGGAAGTTAGGTTACAAAACCACAGAATCCTGGGATTCACTTTGAAAGATTCAAACTCAGTGGGTCTGGGCATTTTTAATAAACACCTCAGGTCTTTCCTGAATTAGGTGGTTCAAGGACCTCCCTTGGAGAAAACTACAACCTGAGTGTTCTCGAAGCTGCCTCTTACCCTGGGATTTTATGTTTAATTGTGAGAGGAAAGCAAATCCCTTGCTGTTTAAATGTATAAAACTTTGTTCCAGGATTTCAAATGGTTTACAGAAATATACAGAATGCAAAAGAATAAATAAGAATTGCTGGGAAAATAGAAGCAAAGGGAAAATAAGGGTAGGGGAATAATCAGAGTAGGTTTAATGTCCTGAAATGCAAACTATATAGTTCTGTATAGTTGCTGGGGTGAGCTAAACATTTGACATCAAATGTCCTCAAAACAAAATCAGACGGAAAATAATGTGCAGAAGATAAGATGAAACTACCTGTAGGGGTGCAAAGAACTGAGGCCACATGGTGATGTAGAGGTGATGTTCACCACAGGATCCCTGCAATAGATTCGAAGAATTTAGTGCAACTATTTCTTACAACACCAAACTTTGTCTGTAGGGACTGAAGCAATATGGTCGAAGTTTGCATCTCATGCCTACAATTAACCTCTTCCTACTGCACTTCAAACTGTGAAATAGCCTCGAGACTTATTTTAGAGCCAGGATATAGCCAGGAGCATCAAGAGAGGCAGCCTCCAATGCCTTGTTTCTATTTCTCTCTGTCCTTCCTCTCCTTCCACTTCCCCTTCGCCCAGGGCATGGCCAGAGAGATTACAGCCTCTCTTAGACGACTACTGTTCTAATAACCCCGGGAAGCAAGACAGCCTGCCAACAACAATTACGAAGCGTCCACTCTATGTGGGGGACCATACCAAACAGACCCAGGGTAGAGCGTTCTGGCTAGAGCCAGGGGGATTTCAGTGCCTGTGACCCCAAACTTCTTTCTGTAACACTGGCAACAGACAGCCTAACAGGAGAAAAACAATCGGAAGTTTATTAACTTAGGCATCGTGTGTACACAAGGGAAGACTCAGCAATGGGTAACTCAAAGAGTGGGCTTACATAGCATTTTAACAAGAGAACAAGACTTTTTTTTAGAGAAGTCACAAGACAAAGGGAAAGGACTGAGTTTCTAGGGTGGCAGATTGTGGGGGCACTAATGGAAAATAAGTAAGTTTGTTAGGTAGGTTCCTCCAGCTGCGAAGGGCCTTGAATTGGCTCTGCTGATGAACTTCTGTCCTTCCTGCTATAGAGGAAAGTGGATCCACTTTACAAACTTACATCTTGTTTTGAGGCAAATAGGGGGAAGTATCTGCTTTTTTTCTGTTGCCTTTAGCTCAAACTAATCTTTCTGCTAAAGTGGTACATTTCGGGGTGGCAGATTCTGCTACCCTTCAGTATCCTCTTGTCTGTGTGCTTCCTGAAGCTGACAGCAGCCTTGCCTTTCTCTGAATTCCGGTTTATCACTTTCTGCCTCCTAGAATCATTGACCTTCTGCACCATAAGATCCTTGAGGGTGGTTTTTTTCATTTCATTTTATTTGTTCCTTGCAGTTCTCTTGCTACCTGACACCTGGCTGGATGTATAGCAGGCTTTCAATAAACAACAGTTACAACTATTGTGGACATGGACCAAAAAGCAGGGCCACTGACTGTGTACCCGTGTTCTACTCACTGTGCTGACCACTTTCCACACGGATTCTTTCTAATTCCATTGCCATGTTTGGCTCAGAAAATGAGTAACTTGCCAGAGGTCACGTAGCCAATAAATGAAAGCGATTCCATTTGATTCTTTCCACTTTATTCATCTGCCAGATGAACAATTTGTTATATTGTATGTAATTTTCCACTCCCACACAACCAAATGGACATAAAAAGATAGTTACCTGGAAGGATGAACATTTACTCTCCAGTTATATGAGCGGCTTGGAATTGTATGGACCAATTATTATGTTTGTAGGTGTCTAGAGCAGCATAAAAAATGGGGTTCCTATTAAATTTTGACCAGCCCTCGTTGTTCAGTTGTGAGCAAGTCTCGCTGCACATCTCAGCTCTTCGGTTTCTAGGCAGAAAACTTCAAAGCTGAGCATTTACTCTGGTGATTTCCAGGCCAACTTGTTAATTCCAATGTGGTCCTTTGGTGGTTACCCTAGATTTGCTGGCTTTTATGTAAACGATCTAATGGACTGTTCCACTCTTTAATTGCCTTTATTTTTCCTCTCTCAACTGAGGTCTTGGTGTGATTATCATCGGCTTAGCCGTGACAGTGACTGGTATCACTGGTTTATCCACCTCTGCTATTGCCACAAATGGATATGTCAGAGGAGGTAATTAAACTTGTGACCTGCACGATCATTTGTAAGGTAAAGGCAACCTAGGCTCAGATAGTCCACCAGCTGACCTTTCTGGAGTGTTTTCAAAGGTAATCCAAGTTGGTTCCTTTTTTTCCCCTCCAGGCAAGAGAGATGCAAGAAAAATGGGGAAGGATTTAACCTTTGTCAAACCCCCAACTTTCTCATGCAGGTTCCTCTCAAGCAAGCGAGAAGGTCAAATGTCATGTTTTCTCTTTTCGCAGCCAGGGTAGTTTGTCTCCCAGGACACCAGCATAAGTCAACTTTTCCTTTCCAGGGCCGCATTTTAGATTGTGTTTACTTTTGGAAACCATCCTTCATCGTAATGAGTAGGCCTCGGACTTGATCTTTATGCCAGGCAAACCTGTTTCTCCTGAGCACAAAGCAACTCCCCTGGGGCCCCAGGCGTGGACGTGAAAACTTAAATCAGAGGCAGTATAGTTTGCAGCAATAGGGAATCCAAGTAAGAAAAGTAAAACGTACTATCTTTTATCTTTCATTGCTAACAGGTCTTGGAGTTCTCATAATTCTTCTTTCCACCATGGTAACTTCTATTACTGGGTTGTCAACTTCTGCAATAGCGACTAACGGGTTTGTTCGTGGAGGTAACATTTCTAAGATACCTAATGCCCTCATCGCTTGCCACGGGTAGGAAAAGTTTTTATATACTTCTCTTTGACTGGAGCAAGCAAGGAGCCCACTGAGCTTGACGCCAGATGCAGAAGGAAACCTAAGGTACCGTGAGCTCAGTCCTGGTCCGCGCCACTCAGATCCCACTCAGCTGTGGGATCTCCTCTAATGGAACTCTCGGGCACATTGCAGCTCATGGTTTCCAGGTGCTCAAATTCCTCCGGCGAATGTTTTCTTTTTCAGGCCAGTCTGCAAACCCCTTGCCGGTGTCTCTGGGGAAATGATTCCTGGACATGGCGTCATTTTTAAAGTTTAGTACATTTCAGGTGCTTCCGAGACCTTCATGGACTGGGATCTTTTAGAACATTTCAGGTTTTTCATGGGGAGACTGACCCTTCTGTGACAAGACTCAGACCACCGCCTCCTCAAGTGCTGGTGACTTCTTGATGTACTGGAGTCAAACACATTTCTTGGGGGATTTTGCAGGTCTTGGAGTCATCATCATCGGCCTGAGTGTGGTGGTGACAACACTCACAGGTATTTCTATGTCCGCTATTTGCACAAATGGAGTAGTAAGAGGAGGTAAGTCAATTCATTTACTTATGGACTACAAGCTTGGCTTACAGAGTAATGTCTACAGTTGGTTTAATGTTGGAAGTAAAATTTGCATATTCATAATTAGTCCCCAAAGCCTTAAAACAAAATGAACTAACCCAAATTTAAACATCAAGGCAAAATTCTCTCAACTAAAATTAAGAGATCTCCAGAAGGTTTTCTTTGACCCATTTCCCGTGATTAAACATGTTTATAGAGAGTGACTGGGTGTCTAGAAAGAAGGCATAAATAATTACAGTAAAATATATGGTTTATTTGTGCCTTGGCCAGGCCCTGCTGGCTCTCTTCCCAGGCCCACTTAGCACCCCAGTTGACACTCCCTGCTTAATAAGCCCTCAGAGTTCACCCCAACACAACGCTCCCAGTGGCCCCCAGTCCTGAGAAGATCCTTCAAAAGAAAATAGAAACAACTAAACAGAACAAAGAGTTACTTTTAAATCATCCAGGAATAAGCAGGCCTAGGTGGAAAATGAAGAGGGCAAGGTTTATCATTGCTTCTAATTCCTGTCTTCCCCCACCCATTCTTTTTGGGGTTTTTTAAAGATTTTATTTATTTATTTGACAGAGAGAGACAGGGAGAGAGGGCACACAAGCAGGGAGAGTGGGAGAGGGAGAAGCAGGCTTCCCGCTGAGCAGGGAGCCCGATGCCGGGGGCAATGCGAGGCTCGATCCCAGGATCATGACCAGAGCCAAAGGCAGACGCTTAACGACTAAGCCACCCAGGCACCCCTCCCCCTCCCATTCTATTTGGCTTCTCCTGGGGCCGCAACTTGGGTACCTTATCCGGGTTTCCCTACGCAGGACCTTCTAAGAGCACTCTCCCTTCCACAAACACACATCCTCTCACAGCTTCCCCTGCCCCTCTCTCATTTTGACCAAGCTGAAGTAACTGGCTAGCTAATTTATTTAATGTCCTGTGGACAAAGGAGATAATGGGGATTTGCTCCACCCAAATAATTGGTTACATTTCTAAAGAGAGCTTTGACCCTTTAACCCAGAGGAGTTACTGCAGTGGAGGAAATTCCTTTTCCGTAAAAGATAGTTTTGTTTTTGTTTTGAGATATGTTTGTTCAGTGTCATTCCTCTACCAATTCTGCCCACCTCTAAGACTAGCTCCTTAGAGGAAGTCATTAGTTTCCTATGGTCACTCAGAGCATCTAGCTACTAGGCCTCTCAACACCTAGTCTTTTTTTTACCTGCTCTCACTACCCTCTAAGAGTAACCAAGGCAGCTCAGTCTTTTCATGTGCAAAGAAAGAAATTCACGGCCACATATAGAACATCTTTTCAAGGTCCAAAGGAGAAGCGATTGTTCTAAGCCCTCCCTATCTTTCTTCCCATTTACCACCGCCATAGGTATTTGGCAATAATCTTGCCTTCTTGAGCTAAAAACATAGAACCAATTCCAATTTATAGAGTGGATAATACATAGCACTATACAGATACCTTTTTTTAAAATTTTATTTATTTATTTGTGGGGGTGGCAGAGGAAGAGAGAAACCTTAGCAGACTCTGAGCTGAGAGCAGAGCCCGACGTGGGGCTCAGTCCCAAGACTCTGAGACCAGGACCTGAGCCAAAACCAAGAGTCCGCGCTCAACCAACTGCACGACCCAGGAGCCCTGCATACAGATACCTTTTTATGCAGAAAATATATATCGGAAAAGTATACCAGAAAGGAAGGTAGAATAGCAATGATAAACTTCACCTACTTCATTTTCTGCCTAGGACTACCTGTTCCTGGAAATTCCAAATATAAAATTTTACTTTGATTACATTATTGATTTGAACTCACCGATGAATTTTTTTTAGAAAGCAAAGCATTTTGGGGCGCCTGGGTGGCTCAGTTGTTAAGCGTCTGCCTTCGGCTCAGGTCATGATCCCCGGGTCCTGAGATCGAGCCCCGCATCAGGCTCCCTGCTTGGCAGGAAGCCTGCTTCTCCCTCTCCCACTCCCCCTGCTTGTGTTCCCTCTCTCGCTGTGTCTCTCCCTGTCAAATAAATAAATTTTAAAAAGAAAAAGAAAAGAAAAGAAAGCAAAGCATTTTGTTTTGGTAAAGTTTGCTGTAGTCTTATTTGCATACAATTTGTGTACAATTGGGTTTTAATAAATCAGAACTTACTAAGTCAGGATAATTCTATTGTGTTCTATTATCATTCTCAGAGTACAAAGAAAGGCTAACTTATTCATTAAAGTAAAACAAGATTCCTAAAATTATTAGGAAGTTGCAATATGTTTGTTAGAAGAAAAATTATTCAAAACTATTTGGTCATAGAAACTAAATCCCTTAGCAGTTCCTCAGAGTAAAGCATGTTCATTTTTTGTTTTAGGTGGGGCCTACTATCTTATTTCCAGAAGCTTAGGGCCCGAGTTCGGTGGATCTATAGGCTTGATCTTTGCTTTTGCCAATGCGGTGGCTGTTGCTATGTATGTGGTGGGATTTGCTGAAACGGTGGTAGATCTTCTTAAGGTAATTAAAAGTTTTTCTTTTCTTCAGCCAAGTAAGATAATTCAGTTCAATTTGCCTTTTCAGGGCACTAAGAGGTTATCATTATAGCAAGATGAAAGGAAATAGATTTGTTCTGTAGAATGTGGAAGTTGGATATAGTTGAAGGAGCTCTAGGCTTGGCATCAGAACTGGCTTGGAATCCTGGCTCTCATATTGATCAGCTGAGATATTCTGGGCCAGTCCCTCTATTCATCTGAACGTTGTTTCTCAAATCTATCATATGGGCTTTTAATGCTGTTCTGTGTATTTCATAGAAATGTGGTACAGAACAGATGAAATAATGTACATGAAATACTGTGTAAAATATGAAACAAAAGATAAATAATGGGTGCTATTATCAGCAGCAATATTACTACTATGGTTATAGATTTCCAAAGGGAAAGACAGTTCAAACATTAGAACAACTCACTGCAGAAAACTAAGCATTTCCTAGCTTAGGTACGCCATCTCGACAGTCGTCTGTGAGCGTGTTAACTAGCTGGTATGTGAACTAACTTCTAGTTCTCCTTTCGTGGTAGTGATAGCATTCACTGAATTCAATCAGTAATAAAGGACCTTTATTGGAAAATTAGATAAGTAAATGAGTGGATTATATAGTTCATAAGGTATGTGATCTTCAAGAAATGCATTATCTGGATTATGGAGTTTGTTATTTAATTGAATAACATGCATTTTCCAATATTCACATGGAAAACCACTCAGTTTTATTTCTCTAAGATTCCCCTTGACACACAAAAATAATCATCCCTGTGAAACAAAACATTGTGTTTACATGTACACATACTTATCTCGGCGCAACAATAGCTTTAAAAGCTGTGACTAGAATGAGCATCTAGACTTTCCAACTCCTAACTTTGGCTACCAGTGGCCTGTTATTATAGGATGAAATAATGCTAATCTCTGATTTAGGAGCACCTCGCTTTTCCATTATCCAAATGGTCATTAGTGCACAGTATTTCTTCTTACTATTCAATTTTACAATATGACACACAGGCAAAAAAAAAAAAAAAAAGCTCCGTCTCTAACCATTTTAGTGATTTTCGTTGTTGTTCCAGGAGAGCAACTCAATGATGGTGGATCCAACCAACGACATTCGGATAATCGGCTCCATCACAGTGGTGATTCTTTTAGGAATTTCAGTAGCTGGAATGGAATGGGAAGCAAAGGTGATTTTTCTCAAAATGATGTCATCAACCACCGCTGCTCGGTCTTGACCAAATTGCAGGAATAGAACAAACCCCATCTTCAAAAAGAATTGCTATTATTATTTGCTATAGCAAAAGTTGCAGGTTAGCACTGGGGGGAGCCCCAAGCCCTCCAAACCCAAGGTACAGGCAGTCAGGACTCCCTGCTCGTGTGTCACATGATCGGGCCTGTACTTTGTCCTTCTCTGTGTGGTCACCACTGTGACAGAGACACCTCAGTTTCTTCCATCTTCACACCCAGGCCCCTTATGATCGTAGGAACAGTCCATGCTGGAAACCTGCATCTCCCAGTCCCACCCCTGGTGTCGCATTTTCCAGCTGACTGTGGGTGCCTGAAGCCCAAAGGAAATGGGAGAAGGGAATAAAGGCCGAAACTATCGTTCTCCCCCGAGACGCAGTACTTCAGGAGTAAGTCCTGGAACTAGACAATATCTGGATTTAACTAGTAGTAACACAGTAAATTTCTGAACGACAGGAGCATGTCTTTGATCTGATTTATAACTCTACAGTGACTGGTATAATTGCAACTGGTCTTAAGAGCCTGAAGATACGGTACCTAGACTTTAAGAGGTCCCCAGAGATTGAAAAGTGGCCAAACCCGCCCACCTCCATAAGGCAATGATAAACATTCCTATACAGCGTTTATTTGTGGATTATGCATTCACATCAAACGAAAATTAATTCAGTGCTTATTAGGTGCTGGGCATTCTGCTAGGTACTGGATATTCAGTGGTGACCCGGGGTGACCCAGACAGGCACAGTCCTGCACCTAGTTGAACGTACTGTGGTCTGTGGGGATATGAGTAATGATCAAGTAGACAAACAAGTAAATATAGAATGGTAAATTGTGAACATGCTATAAAGGAAATAAACAATGGGAATCTACTTACAATGACTTTATTCCCTGAGGGAGGCAATGTAGCTTCAGGGTGGTAGAGGGTAGGTTTAAAGCTCTAGCTCTGTTGCCACAGCACCTGGATTTGAATCTGGTTTACATCTGTATGACCTTGAAAAATGTGCCTAACCTCTCTGTGCCTCAGTTTCTTTATCTTTAAAATGATGATAGCAATATTACCTACTTCAGACAGTTATTGGTAGTATTATTTATCTGAAAGAATACTGGTAAAGTGAAATCTGTCCGTTATTGTAAACCCTCAGTGAATGTTAGCTGTTATTATTTAGATTCAGTGGTCAAGAAAGTCCTCTCTGAGTAACAAAGTAACTAAGGCTTAAAGGATGAGAAGAAGGAATAGTTAGGCAAAGAGTAGGGAGAAGTGCATTCCCTACAGAGGGAACAGCATATGGGAATGCCAAGCCAATAGACCCTTGAAATGTCAGCAGGGGAAAAGGGGGACAAAGAAAGACAATTTGATCGGTCAACCTTGCAAACCACTTCTGCTGGGTACACACTGGTAGCCCAACATCAAGTGTACTAAGCATCACGGGAACTCTGTGGATTACTGTGTTATTAATGCAATTCCTGTTGCACTTAGCACTGGGAAAGGAAAGAATCCATAAGCACTCTGCCTAGAAAAGAAATAAACTCTTATCAGCGATAAAACTCTGGGCTCCATTTATATTCCTGAGGGCACTGCAGTAAGTTACTCACCTAGTACTTGGAATGTTTTTGAAATGTCACCTTCAAGTGCCCAAGCACATGCCTCCATTGAAATGTAACTTTTACACTCAGGTCAGAAAAGGCTTGTTAAGATACCATTCCGTAAGATACACTATTAACGACTCTGGATTGTAGTTTTAATCAGAAGAACCAGATAGAGTCTTTGTCCAGTGGACTTTCAGTAGACATGACTTTTGTAATTATGTAAAACTTTGTTAAGTAATTCTTGAGCTGGCCTCCTTTTACTTTGCCATTCCAGGCTCAGGTGATACTTCTGGTCATTCTCCTCATTGCTATTGCAAACTTCTTCATTGGAACCGTCATTCCATCCAACAATGAGAAGAAGTCCAGAGGTTTCTTTAATTACCAAGGTATGTGTGACAAATGAGTTGCTTGACAATCAGTGGTTCTCCACTGCCCACCTCCATCACCACCCCTGTTACCCCCACGTCAGCCATTAGAATCCAAGTGTGATCCGGGGAAGAGCCTGGGATTGGACTCAGGAGATCCAGAGTGAGTCTCAACCCTGCTGCTTGCCAGCTAGACCAGTCACCTAACATGTTTGGGGTTCAAATTTCCCTGCTGAAGTGTGGGTGATAACAACTTCCTGAGGGGACTTTTGAGAAGTAAATCAGATAGTGGATGCAAAAGTGCTTTGAAAACATTTAAGTGTGGGACAAATTGTTGTTGCCGTCAAATAGAGGAAGTAGAATTGTACATGCAAGGAAAGAGAACATAGTTCGAACAATTTGCTCAACCGTTGAGAACACTAAAGCCAAACATGGTCATTTTCCTGCTAGACTTTTTTTTTTTTTAAGATTTTACTTTTAAGTAATCTCTACACTCAACATGGGGCTCGAACTTACAATTCTAAGATCAAGAGTCACATGCTCCACCTCCTGAGCCAGCCAGGCATCCCCCTGCTAAACTTTTTTGTACCTTGCTTATTTATAGCATTACCTAGTTAAGCATCACTGTCAGGTTTTCAAGCACAAAAGATTGTAGGAGTTGGCATAGGATCCTGAGGGGATGTCACAAAGCATGAAATTCTCCTCCGCCTATACACACCATCCTAGCTTTCCACTCTAGCTTACTCAAGAATCCACTGCTGAGATTTAAAAAATATTTCCCTTCATCATTGATTCAGTTGTTAGTGTCTGTTTCCTTTTGGTATCAGATCACCTCTTTCTTCCTGATTCTTTTTCTTTGTAAAATTTGTCTTGTTTGCTTGGCATGTTAATATCCTTTTCCTTTCTATTCTTTTCCCTCCTTCTAGCCCCTGCTGTATTTTTTCTGATGATTTAAGCTTTCTTCCCTTGTTTTTGCATCACCCCAGATTCTTTTGTTTGTGTTTTTCTTCCCTCCATTTCTGTTTTTCTTCTACATCGTTCTCTTCTCATTTAAGTAATTTGTTGAGACCCTGTGGGATAGTATTATTTTATGACTGAAGTTCCTTGCTACTATTCTTTTCCTATATATGAAAATTTGGTATAGAATTTAAGATCTAATCTCTGGGAGCAAGGACTGGGAAGGTTAGAACATAAGTAGCAAAATTTTAAGATAGTTTCACCCACAAGTTTCTCCTCCAATTTAAAAAAAAAAAAAGCATAGAAAAGCTGTGTTTGATTAGAATATTTATGCACATAAGAAAGGAGTTGTGTATGTGTAAGGCAGGGTACATGTGTGGTATATTTGTGAATATGCCAGCATGGTCATGAGAAAAAGTCTCCATTTCCCTCTTTTTCAATCTTCTAGGTTCTAAAAAATCTGGAGGCCTGGGTCTCTGTTGTCCCCCCCAAAAATTTTCAGAGCTATGTCCTAGAGATCTAAAACCTTGTGATACATACACATACTGACTCTTGGCAAATATTGACATGAGGTTCGTCGAGAGTATACCAACATCTTCAAATTCATTCCATTTAGAATATAGGGATCCATTTGCATGATACATTGATAGAAGCTAAAAATAACCGTATCTCCTTTTCTGTAAAGAAAGTCTACAAGATAATGTTCTCATTATTTGTGTTGCAGCATCAATATTTGCGGAAAACTTTGGGCCCAGCTTCACAAAAGGTGAAGGCTTCTTCTCTGTCTTTGCCATTTTTTTCCCAGCAGCTACTGGGATTCTTGCTGGTGCCAATATCTCAGGAGACTTGGAGGTATGTCATTTTCCTCTGCTCTTGTAATCCTGGGAAGTTGTGGTGCTGTTGGTGAGCAACACAAGCTGTAGAGGTCAACAGTGACCATAGTTCTCTACTGATGTTAAAACCAACATTTCTGTAAGGGTCCCCAGTAATTTAATAGTTCTCTCTTTTATTTATTTATTTATTATTATTTTTTTTTAAGATTTTATTTATTTGCGAGAGAGAGAATGAGAGACAGAGAGCATGAGAGGAAGGAGGGTCAGAGGGAGAAGCAGACTCCCTGCCAAGCAGGGAGCCCGATGCGGGACTCGATCCAGGGACTCCAGGATCATGACCTGAGCCGAAGGCAGTCGCTTAACCAACTGAGCCACCCAGGCGCCCTAGTTCTCTCTTTTAATGCCAGACCATCCTGTTTCCGACAGTCCATCCAAAAGTCTTATTCAGTGAGACCGGAAGGATAGAGAATATTGGCAGTGTATAACATTTCCAACAAAATGAAAATAGCTCAGTAAAAAGAATATCAGAACAAGCCTTTCTCTTTTAAACATCTAAGGAACAAAAACACATAACATTCAGGAAAAAAAACACCCCACCCAATCCCTCCCCCTCCAAAAAATCACTTTATTAGTGAATTTTTATGTCATTAAATTCAGAGAAATATTCACTCATTTAAATGGTATTTATTTAGCACTCCATTCATATTACTTTATGTTAAGTACTGTAAGGAGCACTGTTAGAATATTGGTTTGAATGTTTTATAAAAGACTAGTAGCAGTGACCTAAAAAGATAGAAGTTTATTTTTCTAGTGGATAAAAATCTGAACTCATAGGCCATGCAGTGGAATAAGAAAAGTCCACTCCACATGGTAGCCCAGGATCCCAGATCACCTCTCTTGATTTACCACTCCCTTAGGGTATGCCCTCACCTGCAAGGTCCAAGATGACCAGTCACTTCCAAGATCATGTTCCTGCCCACGGGAAGAGGAGTAAGGAATAGAGGGCAAGCAATTCATGGACCTTGCATGTATTATTTCTGCTGACATTCCATTGGCCAGAATTTAGTCTCTGTGACCTTGCCTTGTTGCAAAGAAGGCTGGGAAATGCAGTCTCTAGCTGGGCAGCCATGAGCCTAGAATTTTAGGGAGTTCTTGTGTTAAAAGGAGGAAGGTGAGACTGGATATTAGGGGATAGTAAACGGTCTCTACCATATACAAAAAAGGAGAAGACAGAGGTACCTCAATACATCTATAATCAACTTCGGAAGACAAGAAATATTTATAAGAGACATGTATAAATGAACATCATATGTAATGTCTAAATAAATTGTGAGATAAACACAATAAACAGATAATTGTTAAGTCTGGGATGATTTCCTCAAGGAAGTTACTTTGAAGTGTGAACTTAGAGCAAAAGCTCAATATTGACTATTGTTGAGAAAATATAAGGGTATTCCAGACAGAGAAGACAAAAGAACAGTCAGGCATGGGGATACTGGAAATAGTAAGTTTAACTGGAGAAGCCCTGATGAGGCTGGATGACCTTATAATACAAGGGGAAATCGTCACTGGTGAGACCCGAGCAAGAGGTGCTTGCTCTGGAATGTAAGTCTGTGAGAGTGGGGACCTTGCCTTTGGTTATATTCATTGCTGCCTCCTCAGAGCTAGGAAGGTTTCAATAAATATTTATTGAGTGAATGAATAAAGGCATTTTGATTTGTCATATTAGGGACCACAGTGCCATGGTAAATTCTTGGGCTGAGATATGGCATAAAATAGATTAGGTGGAGACTCAGAAAATTAAGTAACTTGTTCAAAATGATTCGAGTAGTTAAGTATCACTACTTAACAAAATTTAGCTATGGATGTGGAGCTGCCAGTTCCTCAGATTTGGAAAAGTATTGGAGGTCACTGATTTAAAATTCTGTCAACTGTAAGCACATATTTAAATGAAAGAATATTGTACTTTCCTTAGAAACAAGTTCGTATTAGATGCTTAGTTGTCAGTTCAGCTCAGCCAACACTTACAGAGCACCTGCAAACGCCAGACACTGGGGAAGCAAAGAAGAGCACAGTCCTCCCTTCAAGTTGCTCGTGGTCTAAGGTGAAAACAGATTTACTCTGTCTGAGTCACGAGAAGCAAGAACAGAATCATGTACAAGGGAAAGAGGAAACAGTAATTGCCTGTCCCTGAAGAAGTAAGGGAAGGCCTTCAGACGACAGGGACACTCCATCCAGATTTCAAGGGACAAATAGGGGTTCATCAACAGAATAAAGAAGAGAGGGACATTTGGAACAGAAGGCCTGGAATGTCAAAGGGCACAGGGAAAGATGCTGCTGATGGAAATCAGTTGACATGTGGAATGGGGTATGCAAGTAAAATTGTTTCAGCAACATTTTCATAAGCATGTTTATAAAGGACCTTCTGTGTCCTGACATGCTGGGAGTAAGCAAAGAACCAGAAGATATCCCTATCTAAAATGGCAAGACTTAAAGTTCCTTTCTCCCAAGATGAATGCTAACTTGATTAGGGATGCTATACTAGTAAGGAGCTTTATTTCTCTATCAATCGGTACTGAGAAATCTCTGAGTTTGAGTTTCTATATAAAGAAAATGTAGAGAATGTTCTGTCATGATTTTCAGGGCACATGCAGTCATAGTATTGTAAGAATTTGCATTATTTCTACTTAAAAATATTTAAGTGATTTTGCAAGTAATCTTAACTTTCAGTGTATACACTAATATATGCTATTAAGTAGAATGCAAAGATACTTTAAACTACAGAAAAGGGAGTTTGGATATTATCCCAAAACTAGCCAGAGACACTACGGAAGTTAGATCAGGGAGTGATATGTGTACATTTGTTTTAGAAAAAGCCTATTAGCAGCTTGAAACGATGGGTTAGAGGGTGGGGGGGTGATAGGTAGGGAGACCGAAGGCAGAAAGACCAATTAGAAGATATCACAGCAGTCTGGATCAAAGGGATAGCTTTTTGTTAGGGTTAGGAGAGGAAACGGAAAGAGTGTTTTCTACTATGATCTGCAGTCAGAAAACACTATACATCACAATCCAGTGCACACATACAAAATTTTCCCCGAGCAGTTCTTAACTTTATTACAAATGATGTCTGCTGATGTTGCCCCATCAGTTCTATTCTATTGTATTCTTTTAATGCTGGATGCAACCAACCTACTGAATTGATTCCATGCTGTAATTGATGAGGTTAATAAAGAAGCTCAGATTTGGCCATTTAGGTTGCAGTGGCAAAAGGACATCAGAGTGGAGATGTCTAGTGGGTCACTAGATTTATGAGTCTGGAGCTCTGGGAAGGATCTAGGGCAGGACTGGGGCCATGGCATGAATGAGTTCACCCAGGTCTGTGTAAGAGGGAGCAGAGCAAAGGACCAAGAAAGTGCCCAGGTGACATTCAAAATGTTAGTGGTAGAAAAGGAGTCCATGAAGAAGAAAGACAGCCATCTAGAAGGTAAGGAACTCAACAGAGAGTGGGATCATGAAGGTCAAGAGAGGAGAATGTCTGAGAAGTAATAATTAACATGATCAAAGCCAGAGTGGTCAAACACGTTAGGAACTGAGAGGTGACCACATGTTGGAAAGTGACAAGGAAATTTCAGTACTTAAAGATAGGATTTCTCTGAGAGTGAAACTAGAAATAATCACATTATAGATTCATTTCAACTTAGTAAACATGTATTATTTATACACTGTAGGGATATGCAAGACGTTACCTCTGTTCACAGCCTCAGAATCCTTCTCCAGATGGCACTTCAGGCTGCCAGTGACAACAAGAGTTGGCACAAGGGGATGCTACTAAGTTCCCACCCTGAGCCTTCCATTGGTTAATGCTAATTGATAATCTGTAAATATGTGCCTAGGAGAAGATGTGGGAGGTACCCAAATCTAATCAAGATAGTTAAGATGTGGCTTCAGAGATGCAAGATTAGATGTGCTTGACACTCAAAAAGCAGCAATCTAATAGATTGCTTGTGTATTCTGTCTTAAGAAAAAAAATAATATCCAATAAAGAAAGGTGAAGGAAGTTAGATTTTTAGGTTACAGCTGGGGAGATGGAAACTAACATTTAGAATAAAAAATAAGAATTTGTCAAAGTCCTGGTCCCTGTGTAGGAGAAAAGGAGCCAGAGCAGACAGAGTAAATATATGATCACACATTAAGATACTGACATCCTGATGTATATTGGGTCAAGTCTGACCCTCATGTAAATTCTAAGTAAGTAATTTCAGAGTTTGTAGGAGATGGTTCTACATAAAAGCTAAGCTTTCATGTTTGAGGTACATGACTGCCCTCCACCTTCACACCTCTTATCTTTATATATATATTTCCTTTCTTCCCACTTAAATTAATCTTCCCATTTCACTCAGATCACAAGAAATAGTTTATAAAATAAAACTTGAAACATACCATGAATTGGAAGATTGAGTGGGGCCTATTTCAGCCACAATTACTTTCTTCTTCTTTGACGTGCTGTTCAACTGCACTCATTAGCCAAAATCACTTTTGCAGACAATAGTTTGGAAGGAGGAGACTAGGTATATATGCAGCAAAACTAGGCCTATGTACAAATATTCCTAAAGGAGTGAGAATCAATGACCACAGAGTGGCTCCATGGAGCTGACTTACTCCCATTAAGGGCAAATTCTCTTGTATAGTTATTTCCAGCTGTCAGGTTGGAAATTTACCATGAGTTGGCCTCTCTGATGGATTTGATCAGCAGATTTGAGTTAAAAACAAAAACAAAAAAGCTTAAACTTTAACTACATTTATTGCTTATTTGTATTGATACATCTCAGGTCCTCTGGTGGGGGGACTAATATCTACTGAGATTGCGCTTCCCTCAATTCAATATTTATTGACTCCTTCTATATGCCAGGCACTGCCTTGTATAAGCAAGAGTACACTGAAATCTCTATTTAATAATCCCTGTTAAGTTTAATTCAATAATTTAAAAGTTATAGTGCTTGGAAATTGATTATGCTATGATTTAGCCCCCAAAACAGGATATAAAATGGTATGTTATATATGATGTGAGCTCAGCCCAGTGAATTTATATACATGCATAAGCAAAAAAGAAAAGCCCATTTTCTGGTATAAGCTTAAATTTGCCTCTTTCTTTATGCCTGCTTATGGAAATTAAATATCTCCCATAGCAGTCATTCCTGAACTAGATTCCAAATGGGAAATTTGAGGGATTGGAGAACTTAGCAGATCATCTTTTTTGCTTCAAAGTTATTTATTTTTAAAGCAAGCCTAAGCTTAGTACAAAACTAATACCCACACACAGATATCGTCAAGGTACATCAATGCGCTGGGGCGCCTGAGTGGCTCAGTCGTTAAGCGTCTGCCTTCAGCTCAGGTCATGATCCCAGGGTCCTGGGATCGAGCCCTGCATCGGGCTCCCTGCCCCGCGGGAAGCCTGCTTCTCCCTCTCCCACTCCCCCTGCTTGTGTTCCCTCTCTCGCTGTGTCTCTCTCTCTCTGTCAAATAAATAAATAAAATCTTAAAAAAAAAAAAAAAGGTACATCAATGTGCAGGGTGTGTTTGCATCTTTCCCCTAATACTTTAAGGTTTGATATATCTGCATGAAATTCACAGGAGATAAAGGGGAGGGAGACGCTTAGTGAGTGAGCTAACTGGTCTACTTTTCTATAAAAACTCTGTCCTGGACAGTTAGACATCTCTTCTATTCGGCGCAAAGTTCTAGAGATTTCTTTATTCACCTTGAACACCTTATATTCGTCCAAAAAGAACTCAGGCTCACCACTTTGCCATTTGCTTGATCTTTTCTTTCAAACCTGTCTCAGGAAGGGTAGCCGAAACATTTGAAATACAGTAATAACTCCAAGTCATTTCTATTTCTTATTGCACCCTGTCTCTTCATCCCGCCACATTGTTTCTTCAAAGGATCCCCAAGATGCCATCCCCAGAGGAACCATGCTGGCCATTTTCATCACCACTGTCGCCTACATAGGAGTTGCTATTTGTGTAGGTGAGTTGTATGTCTCTGGTGTCAGAATGCCAGAATTACAAGGAGTCTGGTTGTTCTTATGTCCAGTGGGCTTTCAGTGGGTCGAAAGGCTTTTTTAAAGACAACATTTTTAATTCCCTTCCTGGGTGCTTTAGGGCTAGGGTAGAGTTAATCAGATTGTTATTCTGACTGAACACAAAGAGAATCCCATTAGTTACTCTAGGTGATAACCCCACTGCCAAAGGAGCCACCATTCCCAGCATCCACCTCCCTTGCCCTGGGAGGCAGGTGAGAAACAGAGCAAGAGAAAATAAGCCAGAAACAAAACAAGACAAAAACAAAAACAAAAGCCTTAGGAATGCATGAAAGATATAGAATTGCTGGCTGTATCTCCTCCTTGCACTACTGTCCCTGATATGGAAAAGTCCCTATCACCAGTTGGCAGGAAATCAGAACAAGACCCAACTGCCAGCAGTATGGGTGGTCAGCCCCCACATTGCTCAGTAAGCAGAACATATGTAGATGCACCTGCTGTTCCTAAGCTGACTTTCCTTCCACCTGCTGCCTGCAGCCACACCTCCTCCTGGTTGGGGGGTCACCTCATGCTTACGCCACAGTAGGAGAGGAAGAAATGTGGAACATTCAGAGAAGAAAACTCTTGTCTGTGCACACTAGGGAAAATGGGTCCCCACTGCGGAAGCCCGAATGACCATTTTACCGAACGGCACATCCCAATTATACTCTGCTTAAAGGAAATTTGGGAAGTGCATTTCTCTTACGTTGGCTTCTGGAGAAAAAAGCAAAAACAGTTAACTTCTCTCACTGTCTCTTATTTGAGGAAATTGGATAATGTTAGGTGTATTGCTGTGGCATTTCCAAGTTTAGTTACATGTAAAGAGATTTTATTCCAATACTTTAGAAAATTGACACATTTTTGAATGACATTGAAACCACCTTACGTTAAATTTCCCAAATGATTTCCTATCTCACACAATGCAAAAATGAAGGAACGAGTAAAGTTATAGACCTGATTTCAGAGATTCTTCCAGTTTTTGCCTGGAAGAAAATTCCCTTTCCGTACTTTTCCCTGCAGAGGAGGATAGTCCTGGCGTCCTTGGCCTGCCATTAGCGCAAGTTATGGCTCATAGCTTGGCTTCATGGAAATTTAGGGAGTTGTATTGAGCAGAAGCCAAAATATATGATTCCAAAAAGTCAGCTCAACATAAATGAACAATGCAAAAAGGTAAAATCGGGAACAGATGGTTTTGCTTGGTAACCAACATTCATAATTTCAACTGTTTAAGCAGAGGCTAGGAGGCCACCCCTCAGGGCTATGTAAACAGGATTCCGGTACTGATTATTTTACTCTTTCAACACGAAGATCCTATTGTTTTTAAATCTTTTGCAGATTCACAGGATATGAATTCTATGGGTAAAATAAAGGGTTCCCATTAGTACCTGTCACTGGGTACTAGCAAGAATATTGCTAGGTATTAGCAAGAATGAAAATTCATACCAGCTGGAGTTTGAAAAGCAAAATGAACAGTTTTATTGGTTGGGATTTAGTTTGTAAAATATTTATCCTTCAGGTAGTTCAGAAAAGTTTCTACATATTTTCCACATATATTCATATATTTCAATAATCCTATCAAATACATAGCGGCAGAGATTATAGTTATAAAATTCATAAGGAAAGTCTGTTAAAAAAATATACATCAAGAATCTTTAAAAAGTTCATAACTCCATTTCTAGACATCTATCCTAGAGAAATATTTTGAAATAGAGAAGAAAAAATTTGTCCACAAAGATATTCATCATAGAATGTTTATAATGGAAAATAACAGAAATATCAAAATAGATAAAAGCAATGGAATAAACTGATATTTGGTCAAATATTATTTGACCATTAATATTACCAAGGAAATCTCAATATTTTAACCCCAAACATTTTCTTTATTATTTAAACCTTTAAAATTCTGTATAAAGTTGAATTATAACTCTTTAAAAAACTATGCAAGGACTATCATCAGTTGAAAACAAGGGCTCAGGTCTCTTAATTACTAGAATTCAATAATGCCATCCCTTAGTTCTCTCGCAGATGAGGAAATAAATCCTTCTACCTGAAAAACACTTGGTCAGTGGCACCACGCCAGAAATATGAATTGAATATTATGTGCAAAGCACTGCCATGTGCATTTCAGAAAGTAAGGGTTGGAGAGTTCCAACCCCCAGGTGTCTTACAAAGGTAGGTGAGAGCTTGGACCTAAACCCCCCAAGGCAGTAGAAGTGGCAGACTGTCAGAGACAGGGGGCGTTCTGGGGCCTCTGAGGATGGGAACCTTCAGGGACCATGTCCCTAGGATGACAAGAGAGGATGGCAGTGGACCTGCTCAGACTCAAAGTAAACTATGTTTTCGGAAGAAAATCCCATGGGAGAAGAACCCTTATAAAGAAATGATGAGCCACGGTTGTTTCCTCAGGGGCCTGTGTGGTCCGAGACGCCACCGGAAGCATGAATGATACCATCATTTCTGGGATGAACTGCAATGGTTCAGCAGCCTGTGGGTTGGGCTATGACTTCTCAAGATGTCGACATGAACCATGTCAATATGGGCTGATGAACAATTTCCAGGTTTGAACAGAAAAAAAAAGTTTATTTCTTTTTGCTATTTGTGTAGGTAAGTTGTATGTCTCTGGTGTCAGAATGCCAGGTTTAAAGGTTTCATTTGTAGAAAGTCATGTGTAGAATAATGCAACTTCTGACCTTGCAACTGATTAATTATTGGTCTGTTTGAATTCAGCAAGGAACAATTCGTGCGTGAGGGGAGGGAGCTCCTTAGACATTATGTGGTGGCAAATCCTGTGGTTACATTTACTGTGGTGGGGAGAGAACAGGCAGTTGTATGAATTGCATCATCAGGGAAAGATTACCACCCGACATATTGCATCTTCCAATCAATGGTTCCAGATTTCATGGTGGGGAGAAAGAGAGACTTAGATAGTTGGTATTTGGAATGCACTTCATGCATGGATCTCAGTTTTGGGAAAGCCCCTAACATGATCCTGGAGTGCCTGGAAAACAAGGCCAAGAGGGAAATTGTGAGTGGCAGAAGGGGAGGTAAATGAGGGGAATGGAACAAGAGAAGTTGGGAAAACTGTGGAACTTGAAACATCAATTTGTCTGAATGATTGGTGAGTGGAGGGAGAGGCAAATTTGTCATGAAGGCTTCATTCATCTATTTTAACAACCAACAAAGAGAAATGAACTCAGCCGAAGTCATTATTCCAAAATGTGACTTAAATTGATAGAATCTCATCATGTCTCAGATCTAAAATTATATTTAATGAGCACAGAGAAAGCAAAGGTTTGAAAAGCCTCTACATGCAGAAAGAACAAGAAAGGCAAAAGCTTTTCAAAAGACCGGGAAACAGCTGAGCCCTCCCCAAACCTTATTAAAATACCACTTTCTGCTCCATAGAATTTCCCATTGTCAAAGAAACATATGCCCCCAAAGAAGGGGGGAAATGTTGTCAAAATCCTTGAAACCATTTCCTTCTTTATTTTTTTCCAGTATCTTCTGGATGTATTGTGGTGAGCATTTCCTATTTTCATAAACAATGACAACAAAATGGCCATTTCCATTTTGAAAAAACAAATATGAAGAACTGGAGAATGAAGCAGGGCAAGGGGGTTGGAATCTGGTTAGAAGCAATTAGCTTATAAAGGAGATTCCAAATCACGGAAAGTAAAAGGGGAAGCATTTGCATAAGATTTTGGCTTTGTTTGTTTTTTAATTGTCTGTTGGATGAGTCTCCTTACTTGAACATCTTTTCCCAAGGTTATGAGCATGGTGTCAGGGTTCGGCCCCCTCATCACTGCCGGCATCTTTTCTGCAACGCTCTCCTCAGCCCTGGCCTCCCTCGTCAGCGCACCCAAAGTGTTCCAGGTGACATAAGCCAAGAGCACGTGCTTCTCCCTACGTCCGTTTCCACTGAACGTGGATCAAGCTGAAATACTCGTTCTCACCAGCCATCATTTTCCATCATTTTCTGAAACAGTTTAACGTTTGCATCTGGCTCAAATGCTGTCTGCCACATAGTCAAGATCGATTCAAATAATATAGAGAATGATAAACTGCTGTGTTAACCTGTGCCTATATTGTGTATCACTTCATCTTTCTCCAAATCTTCTTGTTTGAATCACCTAGGGAAAATGACTGTGCATAGATATAAATGACGAATTTCTCCTCTTCTTTTCCACTAGGCTCTGTGCAAGGACAACATCTACAAAGCCCTGCAGTTCTTTGCAAAGGGATATGGGAAAAACAATGAACCCCTGAGAGGATACTTTCTCACTTTCCTTATAGCCATGGCATTCATTCTTATTGGTTCGTGATTTTCTTGTGCGTACTGAAAGCTAAAGAATTCTTCTGATTACTGGTAGGGTTTTCCTTTTAGCTTGAGGAATTACCTGTTTTCTGTTTAATATCCCAATTGGGAATATTGGAGTCTGTCTAAGAAGGAAATGAGGAATCCTTGTGTGCAGACAGGCTTTGAGGACTTGAGGTAGACTTTGGACTTTAATCTCTTCTTTGAATCCGAATGTTGGAAATCCATCCAACCAAATGCAACCCAAATCCTTCCTCCAAGCTGCCTGATACCATCTAATTCCAGAGCCTTCCCCAGGTGCCACCTATCTCTACATCTCCTGGCCTGGCAGCTACCAGGAGAATTAAAGTGTCGTTTACAAAATGTTGGTCCATTGACTGCCTATATCAGAATCAGAATCACTTGGGGTTTGTTAATGTGTCGATTTTTCAGACCCAACCCCGGAGAGGATAAGGGGATAAGGAATCTGCATGTATAGAAGCTCCTCAAGAGATCTGTAGACCACTGAGGTTTGAGAACCCCTTGCCCAGACTATCATCTCGGCTCCCTCTCCCTAAGCAATATAGAAATAGTTGCGTAATCTTGGAGAGGCACATTCATCAACTTCAGCCTGCACACTCCTCATTCCTCCCTAAGGTGCCACCTTTGCTGGTGAACATATCAGATGAAAATAAGTAAAACGCAAGGCCATGGTAACTCTGTCTAGAAGGGCAGAGCCTTCCTCAGCGCAGTGGCACCAAACAATAAAGGCTCCTCCTCATCACATAAACTCAGGAAGTGACTGTAATTCCTGAATCCTCATTAAGATTTCTACAAGGTTGAAGAGGGGGAAGATATGACTATGTTTGTTAGATTTTTAAAAAATTAAACAAAAAGTGATTATGTACAGAAATGTTTCCATTACATAACTTAAGACCTCAAATCATTCCCCTATAATGCCTTTATGTGATCAAATAGCCAAAGTGTTAAAAAAAATTGTATAAATTAAATATCATCCTTAAAAATACTCACAACAACGTACATGAGCTTCATGGCAGCTATTTTTGCCTACTTCCCTGCTAGCATCTATGATCTAGAATCACACCCAGCTGCCAGTTGCATTTGCATCACTGAGGTTGATAAATGAGAATGTTACTAAATTATTTCTTATACAGCAAACCATTCAGCTAGGATTAAATTATACCAGATATTTAGCTACTGGGGTAAATATTTTTTTTGGCAAACCTTGACAGGTAGAACTCTCTAGAAATGTTAAGAAAAGAAAGGACTAGCAAGAGTTCTGTGAGTCAGGGAGAGCAAGTTAGGTATAGAAATTTCCAATTAAGCATTTCGGGTGCCCTGGTATTTAACTGATCTGTTGCCCTGTAGAGCTTTTTGCTTATATCCACAGCAGAGAAAGATTGCAGGATTTGGTACCTCTGCAAGAGCGACAGGGGAGTTTTTCATCTGCCCAGTCGCCAAACCCTCCACCCACACCCATTCGAATGTTTGCTGGGTAGAGGTCTTGTCTATCGTCTATTTTCTCTCATTGGGAGGTTTTCTTGCTCCTTGCTTTATGGAAACCCTGGCTGAGAATATATTTTTAAATGAATGCAATCCCAAAGAAAAATCACTAACTTCTTAAACTTTGACAGATGCTAGCTATGTTTTCAATTTCCAAATAAAGTCAAGCTTCCAGGCTCTGACAGCTGTTCAGCCCCTGGTCTCATCATTCACACGGACATGCTCACTTGTGCTTCTTTCACAGCGGAACTGAACACCATCGCCCCCATCATCTCCAACTTCTTCCTGGCCTCATACGCACTTATTAATTTCTCCTGCTTCCATGCCTCGTATGCCAAATCTCCGGGTAAGCTGACTCTTCAAAACTAAAAGAAGCCTAAGCAGACAGTTAGTTTGTCTCAATAAGATGAAATAAGTCAGTGAAAAGTGCTCAATCTGTGTTTATATGTTTCCTTATATCCTAGTGGGCAGCATAATACACTTTATTTTGGTGAGTTGGGGGCGGGGTGACTTCTGAAATAGAAAAAGAATCATTTGAGCAATGGCCTTTTTGACCAACCGTAAAGTCAATTTTCTCCTGCGGCAATAAATTATTCATTGCAAGAGAAACCACATTTATTTCAGCAGTAGAAAAACCCCACTATTTATTTCCAGGGTGAAAGTGACCACAGAAGTGGAATAAATGTATATTTTTGAAACTTCCTTACTATCAATTTGTTTCCTGCCCATGGTGCAAAAGAGAAGGATGAGTAGTTCCCATAATTACCTGCTGAGTGCAGTCAATGCAGATTCGTGCTGAAGCCGGTGGCATCCCTGCCCTCCGCAGACTGTGGGTGAAAGAGGTGCAAAATTTCACACCAAAGAACCTTCCCTCTCTCGCCACCTCTCACCTCTGCCTCGCTTTCATCGGCTATTAGAATTCCTTCTGCCTTTCCACCAGAATAGATACTCGTCACTATTGACCTTCAGAAAGTTCTTCACCATGAGGGCCTTTATCAGGGATATGAACACATTTCTGTGTGGTCTGTGTGGTCTTGAGCCTCCTTCGGGAAACCTGCTGCCTGTAAGACAAAATATGGATGGAAGGGAAGCTTTCGTCCACCCAAGGCCACGAGGCTCCAGAAGATAACTGAGGAATTTTTATTTCTGTTGTGTTGTCTTCTTTTAAGCAGAGAACAGAAAGTTCTAGTCAGTGAACACAAGTCATAGAAATGTGTACCTCCGTGCCGTGTTATGTTCATCTTCGAAAAACAAGGTGAAGGGCGCCTGGGTGGCTCAGTCGGTTGAGCATCTGCCTTCAGCTCAGGTCATGATCTCAGGGTCCTGGGATGGAGCCTGACGTTGGGCTCCCTGCTCAGTGGGGAGTCGGCTTCTCCCTCTCCCTCTGCCTGCCGCTCTGCTTACTTGTGCTCTCTATCTCTCAATCAAATAAATAAATAAAATCTTAAAAAAAAAAAAAAAAAAAAAACAAGAGGGGCGCCTGGGTGGCTCAGTCGTTAAGTGTCTGCCTTCGGCTCAGGTCATGATCCCGGGATCCTGGGGTCGAGCCCCGCATCAGGCTCCCTGCTCTGCAGAAAGTCTGCTTCTTCTCCACTCTCCCTGCTTGTGTTCCCTCTCTCTCTGTCTCTCTCTCTGTCAAATAAATAAATAAAATCTTAAAAAAAAAAAAACCAAGGTGAAATAATAGAGTAGGTAAGGGAAAGAGTGGGAAGGAAGAAGAGAAACGGGAAGAGAGAAAAAGAGAGAGGGGGAAAAATAGCAGACCGCATAGAGACAGGTGGATACACAAAGCCACGAAATGACACACACACAGCCAGACTCAGAAAAATAAGGGCATTTCCAGGGATGTCCTCAAAGTGCTATTTCCATCTTGTAGCCATTTCAGAAATTCCTCCCGAAGACTTGGAAAGCTCTGTTGTATTTTGGCAACTCCACATTTAAAATGTACTTCACCCATCATCCAAATGCCCTTCAAATCAGAGCTTCCCCAGCCGGCGCTGCTGTCTCCCAGCTTCTGCATGGCAGGAAACTAATAGAACAGGGGACACTCCCATGCATATATGAACTGTGAGAAATATTTTCACTGTAAAATGCAAAATCTTATTAATGCATTGGGTTTAAGAAGCCATTGGCGAAAACGTCTCCCTCTTTTTCCATAGATTATTATTTCTGAGAGGGCAAGTACTATCCTCTTAAGGTAAAGACAGAGCTAGCAGGAAGTTAGTGGCTAGACTTTTGATGATGCTCTGCCTTCTCCATGGGAACAATAAGTCCATTGTCTTAACTGCCTCTTTTCTTGGGCCACCAAGGAGCTTCTCCCCCTCCTTCCCACTAGACCCCACTCTTTTCATCTCTCCTGCCTCCTTTCAGCTCCTGATGGTATCGCTAGCAGAAGCTTAAGGTGTCATAGTCGGGGAAGACAACTGGGGCATGCAGGACATACGAAGAGGCCATAAGTGACACGTTTTCTGTATTTTACAGCATTCTTATTTGATGTACCTTCGTAAGCCAGGGACCTGAGATCACAGAAAACTAACAGAATTGGGAGCTTGACCCAAAAGTTCTGATTTTTATTCTAGGAAAAACTGTTGCCTGCATGCGAATCATATGCGGTGGTATAAAGTGATAGTGTGAAAGTTTTTCATATGCACCGAGATATTTTTTTCTTTCAGGATGGAGACCTGCATATGGAATTTACAACATGTGGGTATCTCTTTTTGGAGCTATTTTGTGCTGTGCAGTTATGTTTGTCATCAACTGGTGGGCAGCTGTCATCACCTATGTCATTGAGTTCTTCCTCTACCTCTACGTGACTTATAAGAAGCCAGGTAAGATGAGAGGAGGGGTTTTTGAAAGCACTCCCTAACTAACCATTCATTCAACAAACGTTTACTGAGCAGCCCCTATGTACTTAGGTGTGCCGTGTGAACAGTGGATATTAATAATATAATACAGCATAATGATAGCTAACCATGTTGAGCACCTATTATTTACCATGCCCTCATTGAATCCTCACAATAATGCTATACATTAGGTATTATTAGACCCATTTTACAGATGAAGAAACTGGAGTTCAAAGAGTTGACCACTTGCTGGGGCGCCTGGGTGGCTCAGTTGGTTAAGCAACTGCCTTCAGCTCGGGTCATGATCCTGGAGTCCTGGGATCGAGTCCCGCATTGGGCTTCCTGCTCAGCAGGGGGTCTGCTTCTCCCTCTGCCCTCTGCCCTCTCATGTTCTCTGTCTCTCATTCTCTCCCTCGCAAATAAATAAAATCTTAAAAAAAAAAAAAAAAAAAGAGTTGACCACTTGCCGAGGTAACAGGATGTGATGGAGTTGACATTTTAAGTAAAGTGTATGATACCAAACCCCACACTCTTTCCATTATATCGCCTTCTAAAAATCCTGATAAATAAGATATAGTCCCTGTCCTCAAGGAGTTCACTGACCCCCACACAAGCAACGAACCATAATGCAATATAGTAAGTACCATGCATGGCATGAGAAAATTACTGAGAAGAGCAGACAGAGTGATTAGCTCTGACTAGAGTTGTCCAGGAAGACTCCTCTGGCTCATGGCTTGTATTCCCAGAGCCAACACTCAGTAGGTACTTAAATACTTGTTGAATGAACAAATAAGCTACTTAAAAAAAAGACAAGAGACTAGGGGTTGTTTAATCAGATAGAGCCTGGGAAGGTTATTCTGGGCTGAAGGAGAAGCATGAGTGGAGTTAGAAGGCATGCAAAGACATGGCATATGTAGGAAGCTTCAAGGCCTGTAACATGGATGGAGTTTTTGTGTGCTAAGGAGAAAGGGCATGAGGTAAGCCTGGAAGAGTAGGTTGGGGCCAGGTAAGTAAGAAACATAAATGTCATGCTAAGGAATATGTGAACAACAAGAGGCTGCCATAGATCACTCAATTCTATCTGAACTTCGGATGTTAACTTTAGAATCAACGAGAAGGATGGACTGAAGCTGTGGTACAGGGAGCCCCGGTCTCAGGAGTCGGACAGCCCCAAGCCACCCTCATATGTCCCTTACCTGTACTGCACAGGAAAGTAGAGAAGAAAGGAGAGAAGAAAGGAGAAAGTAACTAACTTGAAGGGATTTTTTTCCTGTTTTTCTTTATTACTTTATGCATCAGGCATAATTTATGTATGGTAAAATTCATCCTTTAGATGTACAGTCTATAGGTTTTGACAAACTTAAACAGTCTTGTAACCACCATCACAATCAAGACAGAGGACATTCCCATCATCACTAAAAGTTCCCTTTACACTCCTATGTAGTCGATCTCTTCACCTCAACTTAGCCCCTAGTAACCACTGTTCTGATTTCTGTCACTACACCTTTGCCTTTTCAGAATATTACATAGAATCATGTAGTATGTAGCCTTTGTGTATACTTCCTTTCACTTAACATGATGTTTTTAGATTCATTCATGTTGTTGTATATGTAAGTGTTTTGTTCGTTTATGTTGAGTAGTATTTCATTGTATGAATATATCTCAAATTTTTAAAAAATGCATTCGCCAGCTGATGGACATCTGGGTTGTTTCCAGCTTGGGATGATTATATATGAAGCTGTTATAAACATGCACACACAGGACTTTAATGTGGACCTCTGTTTTCATTTCTCTAGGAGTGGGATATCTAAGAGTGGGATTTCTGACTATAAAGTAAGAGTATGTATCTTCATAAGAAACTGCCAAACTGTTTTCCACAGAAGCAGTGTCATCTTTTATTCCTACCAGCAATGAATGAATGTCCTCATTGCTCCACATCCTTGTCAGCACTTAGTATAGTCAGTTGATTTAAAAAAAAAAAAAAGTTCTAATAGATGTATAGTACTATCATTTTGCTTTGCCTTGCATTTTCCTGATGACTAATGATGAACATCTTATTTGCCATCCATATATCTTCTTCAGTCAAATGTCTGTTTAAATCTTGTGCCCATTTTTTTGAGTTGTTTATTTTCTTATCATAGCAGTTGGGGAGTTCTTTATGTATTCTAGATGCAAATCCTTTAGCAGTATGTGTTTTGCAAATATTTTCTACAGGACTATGACTTGTCTTTTCATTTTCCTTACAGTTTGTTTTGAAGAGCAGATATTCTTAATTTCTATAAAGTCAAATTTATCATTTTTTGCTTTTATGATTTGGTTTTTTGCTTCTAATCTATCTTTCCCTAATCCAAGGTCACAAATTTCTTCTGAAAGTTTAAAGCTTTACATTTTAAATTTATGTCCATTATCCAATTTGAGTTAATTTTTATATATGGTGTGAGGAATGGTAAAAGGTTCATTTTTTTACTTGCAAATATCCAATTGACTAGTAGGATTTTTATTACAATAAAATAATCTAAAGTATGCTAAATACCTGGTGCTAATTACCTAGTCAACCCTTAGGCAATATTAATCCTTTTTATCTCCAGGTAATTATTCCCAACCATTTCCTTGACTCTTCTGAGCAAGACTAGGGAGATTACTCTATCTGCCATCTGGAGTAAATCTGTACATTCCCACCAGAGACTTCCTGATGGGAGGTTCCATCTAATATTTATTTATTTATTTATTTTCAAAAAAGGGTAGGGAAAAAAAAGGGGGTAGGAGATGGTAGTACTTAATTCCTTCATTATGAAGATTAGGTCCTAAAAGATCAAATTAATATGCTTGCTGAACCCTCTTCATGGATACCCAAAAAAGTAAGAATTCCTGAGCTGTTCAGTTTTACTATTCAAAATATAAAGATGGCTGCACACGATCCATGTCTACAGAAATGACTCTTTTCAATTCAAGAATTTGTGAAGACCTTTTGAATTTATTTAGAGGCTGACCATTTTTCCAAGTCTATCCACTCACAATGTGGCTATCACATAGTCTCTCCCACCAAGCAAAATTTCTGGGGCTGCAGCTTTAAAGTCTGATCCTTAATGGGAAAGAGCCATCTCACTTCTAAGAATTCATAAAGTGTTCATAGAAGGACACAATGCTCTTTCTAGGAAATACTACATTGTGTTTTCTCTAATTTGGGCACTCCTCACTGATGACATAGCCAAGGAAAATCATAGAAGGCAATGGCTTATAAAAATTAGTCACAGTATACAGAGGGAAGGTCAATGCTTTTGATGCCAAATTCTTCTGTTGTCCACAGACGTGAACTGGGGCTCCTCCACACAGGCTCTTTCCTACGTCAGTGCATTAGACAACGCCCTGGAATTAACTACCGTGGAAGACCATGTGAAAAATTTCAGGTGAAGTTGGCTTCTCAGGCATCCTGGTGTCACTCCACATTAGAAGTGGCTTTCCTTTAGGGGAGACAGATGCACTCAAGTAGTGATATGCTTTATGGGTACATTCTAAGACTAGAGAGTCATACAAACCTGCCTCATTTTCCCAACAACATCTCTGTGAATGAGTGTTCTTCTCTTCCACTCTGAGCTATGCCCACTCCCAGCTATAAACCGTCATAATGTTGGGTGTCACCTTCCATGCACAGAGATAGAGAGGTGATCTCAGGGTGTGATTTCAGAGAGATGCCCCCAAACATCTTAATCCTTGGTGCTGTCTCCATTCAACTTAAGGTTCTGTGGCTTACTGAATCTCTTAGGAAAAGTAACATTTTAAACTCTTCATTAGTTATATCTTATTTTGAATGGAACCCCAAAAAACAAGCTTTGCAAGGAGGATGAAGGAAAGCAGCATGAAGATACCAGCTGGAGAGTGACAGGTTGTTTGGGGATTTAGGACAGGGTAGTGCCTGGAGAGAAAAAGACAGGGGGAACCCAGGACTACCTTTTTCTTACTTCACATTTTTGCCATCACTAATGAACTAAGAATACAAAGATGGCAAGATGAACAGGTAGGATGATTCAAGAATTCTGATGAGAAACCCAAAAAATATTTAGGGGAGAGATTGTCCCAGTTTGCCAAACCCTCCATTCCTGCCATTTCCACTGGGGTTGTTCTGGCTCATAGGCTTCTGGCAATGGCCAGTTCTTACATATTCTTTTCTCCATTTCCAGGCCACAGTGCATTGTCTTAACAGGGGGACCTATGATAAGACCTGCTCTCTTGGACATTACTCATGCCTTTACCAAGAACAGTGGCCTTTGCATCTGCTGTGAAGTCTTTGTGGTAAGAGACACTTCATCCCAGGAAGGTGCTTCCCTCCCTGCTCACCTTGTGTTGTTTTAGGCAAGCCAGGTGGGTACAGGCAGTGATAGGAAAATGGCAAGGCAGTTTGGACAAGAGCCCTTTTCCTTGATTCATAGAGCAAGGACTGGCAAGGGCTGTGATCCTGAATTTAAACAAGTGGAGAAAAAGTGTTTCAGATTTCATAGGAGACCAACTAAAAGTGATAAATATTTCCAAATGATGGCCTTTGAGACAAGAAAAAGAGAAGTGGCTCAGAAATAAAATGAAGACATTTGAGGTGGTAACTGTCCACAGAAATATAAAAGGATGGAATGAGCCAGAGAGTGCTATTATATAGATTAACTGATGAGGAGAAAACCAGACATAATATCCTGAAATGACAGCACATAGAATTTAGATTAAATATTTGGATAAAATTGATGACACCACAGATATCTAAGGAATTAAACCAAGTTTCCCATGCCTTGGATAAACATTCAGAGATGAATGAGTTCCTTTTGTTCAGGAAGTATGCGGTAGACTAACGGTAACTTACTGGTGGTTTTCCCAGGAGGCATTCAAAGTAGATGCTAAAAATTTAACCATAATTATTGACCAATCACCGATCTCTAAAGTGAGGAGAAAGCATTAAAATTATAAGAAAATAGTAAGCCTAGGTCCTCCAAACCAGTCTATCTCTGCTGTGTTCCCATAACAATCTCACTCTCTCTATCTCTGTCTCTGTCTGTCTCATACGCATGCACACGCCACTCAAAATCCTTAGCTACTTCAATGAATTATTTTTAGTACATACCTGTTCCTCGAAGCATTTTCCTACAATTTTTCTTGTTTGACCTATATTACAGCCTAGTGAGGCAGAAAGGAAAAAGAATCTCTGTTTTCATTTTACTGGATGGAAAAGTAAGATTTAAGAAAATGAAATTCTTGCATAGGGTCACGTGACAAGAAAGTGACAGAACCGGGGTGTCAGTTCAGGCCACCCAACTCTGCTCTGTGTTACCTCATGAGAAGAAAATCTTAGCAGGCTTGTGTCCCTGGGAGTGCCGATAGAATTGGATGCCACTACCTAAACTTCCAACACCTGCCAGGGAGTAGGGCTGACAGGAAGCCATGTCATTCTGGGGCCAGTCAGCTGTGCCATGATGTGGGGACAAATTTACCACACATCGTCCTGACCAGCACTTAAGCATCTTTTTATACTTGTCAATACTCTAAATGCTATATGAGGCAATTGGTCATATTCTCCTTCCTCTCGATGCTTATATGCTAGTAACTGAGACAATATAACTTAACACAATTATCCGGAAGGGAGTGGAAGGAACCCTACTTACTACATAAGATTGACAGGATAAGTAATGACCAACTGTGACTCCAGAGGATTTTTAAAAATCTTCTCTCATATTATCAACTTTGGTGCCCTGGATTACTGAATTTCATTTTGGCCAATATAATACAGGGCTGGTTTTGATGGAATAAGCAGTTTGGGGTGTTTTTCTTCTCTAGCAATTTAGAGAAAACTTAGTTTAGCAGGCAATAAAATATCTTTAGGACAGGAGAAATGAACCAAGAGTATGAAGAGTCATATATTGGCAAGGGAGAAAAGGTCTTTTCATAGAGACAGGAGATACTGTTTTTAATTAACCCTTTGCTGCTTTCACTCTAATAAAAGAGTGTGATTGTGCGATATCATGTGAAGTAGGCCCCTTTGTGCCTCCGATAGCCCTGTTGTTCAACATGTATATTGGACCATGTTATATGTCACTGTGCTGGTCTCTTTGAGTAAGGCCCACGAGTCATGCTCCCAGGTTCTGAGCTTCTCCTGGGACAGAAAATAGTTACTGCATCAGTTAATGACTTTCCAGGTAGTTACTGTCTGTGAGCCCCTGAGGCTGCAGATGCTGTCAGCATCTTTCAACTCTAGGCTCAGTCATCAATCATCTTTGCAAAGAAACAGATGGAAGGGGGCTTGGGGAAAGTCAGCTGCATACCCTTAGAAAACTTTTTCCAAAAGCACAGTTGTTGGTAGTTGGGCCAACCTTATTGGAAGGTTAAATAGGAGTGATGATCTTGAGAGGTGACAATGCAGCTCTTAACTCTGGGTAGCTGGCTTCTGAGAAACAAGGTCAGTTCTGAATCACTATTTGCCACCTATTGGCTGAACCACTGTTTGCCACCTGTTAGAGTCCCTTAGGTACAGAATTTAATCTTTCTGGGCCTCAGTTTTCTCTCTTTCTTTATAAAATGGGAATCCTAATAATAATAGCATGTTGTAGAGCTGTTGTGAGAATTCTATCAGGTGAGTTTTCCAGGGCTCGGCGCAGCACCTGTCAAATAGTAAATGCTCAACCAATTGTACTTGTTACTGTTGGAACTGCTATTTTCATCACCATTATTTTTGGCATACCATAGTTGCCATTTTCACTCCAAAAATATATCCCTTTCAACAAAAACCAGAAACATGCTTTCTTAGGGAAACCAGATCCTGGCACGGATTTTGCACTTTTTTAGGTATCCAACATGATCACAACAGAACAGTGAGCTACATATTCCCTCTGACTAATCATAGGACGGCAGGCTCTGTGCTTTGTCCCTCTCGCGGTTATTTCAGTGCTAACTTGAAATGCGGTTACACTACAAGGAAGGAGCAAGACCCAGAGCTCACTAGAACTTCATTGCTAGTGGGTAGATGGAAAGCATGTGGCTACAGCTGCCATTTTCCACAGCAAAGGCTTTTTTTAAAATTTTATTTTATTATGTTATGTTAGTAACCATTCATTACATCATAGTTTTTGATGTAGTCTTCCATGATTCATGGTTTGCGTATAACACCCAGTGCTCCATGCAGAACGTGCCCTCTTTAATACCCATCACCAGGCTAACCCATCCTCCCACCTCCCTCCCCTCTAAAACCCTCAGTTTGTTTCTCAGTCCATAGTCTCTCATGGTTCGTCTCCCCCTCCGATTTCCCCCACTTCATTTTTCCCTTCCTACTATCTTCTTTTTTTAGCAAAGGCATTTTTAAAAGGCATTTTTAAAAGATTAGACATCATGGCCCTCAGAGCTGCTGAAATTGAAATGGATAGAGTTATTCTTTTTGCTGGACGCCAAGCCCCCACTGTGTCCTTCCAACTCTCCAACTAACTCTTACACTCACCCATCAGAACCTCTTCCTCCTTCTTGCTTCTTTCCTACCCAGCCTGAACATTTCAGAAGTACCCTTCATCATTCAAATATGGGCATCTTTTTTTAAGGAATCCAGTAGGTAGCTTACAATATTGTCTGCTCTTCTCCTTTGAATTACCACGTGAAAATCATCAACATACTTATATCCCAAGAGGCTTTATATTGAACAAAAGTAATTTTCTTCTTCTGTGCTTCATTCCTATCATCGCAGAAAGATCAGAGGGAGTAAGTAGGACTCCGCATTTCTAGTATCTTCTCATATTGCCAAGCATAGTTCAGTGTGGGGGTTCAGCAACAGGCAAGTATTAAGTAAGGGGTTGCAAACTCCACTGATTCTACCCTGTGTACCATGACCTAAAAACACACTGTTTTTCTTTGTCAGTCAGTTTCCTCGCTTATTTATAGGAGTTAGGAAGACAATAAAACCAGTCATTGCAATAACTTAGTTTGGGCTCATGGAGACTTTTTTCTCCGAGTACACTATGTTTGGTTCTAAAAATTGTAAGGTGCCAGCTCACATTTCTCTTCCCCATGTGGGAAGGCGTCCTGCGGGCGTCAACAGAACCTCACTCATATACTTCTCAGGTTTTTGTTTTGTTTTGTTTTGTTGTTGTTGTTGTTTTATTTGAGAGAGAGACACAGTAAGAGAGGGAACACAAGCAGAGGGAGTGGGAGAGGGAGAAGCAGGCTTCCCATCGAGCAGGGAGCCCACTGCGGGGCTCGATCCCAGGACTCTGGGATCATGACCTGAGCCGAAGGCAGACGCCTAACGACTGAGCCACCCAGATGCCCCTATACTTCTCAGTTTTAGTTTAAAGGCAGGGTATTTTTCATTAAAACAAATCAAAGACAAATATACCTTAAAGATGGAAACTTGATCCAATTGACCTGGGCTTTAGAATGCAAATCAGATAAAGCCTTTATTGTCCCCCAAATGCAACATTTACCTCTTTTCTAAATGTTGTTTGTCTTAAAATTGCAAAAGGCTTTCAAGTGTGCAGTGGCATCTTTTATTAAGTACATTTTGTTTTCCTGTTGGCTAAAAAAATAGTTTTTTTTAGATTGCTTCTATTTTTTTATTTTGAAACATTAAGAAGAATATTAGGTCAAATCATGAAATTTACATTTTTGTGGGTCAAAACTGTGGAACACTGGCAATTTCATATGACTAAACTATATAAAATTAAATGACACCCATATTCTACTTATTGTAATTAATGACTTAACATTTTTGTCACAGATGTTCCTACTCACTTTTAAAATGGAATAAACCATCATCGCTCAAGTCCCTGTTATAACCACTTTGCTCATGGCTCTCTCCCTCTCCAAAGGCAATGTTATCTGAGGTTTATTGCTATTCTTCTACTCATTTCACCTACGTGTACCAAGATGTAGATCTATTTTGATTAATGCTTCCTACTCTTTCACACCCTTTAAACCTTGATTGTCCTGTTCTTCCCTCTCACGGTAAGGGAGATGACAGATAGTTTTTGACCAGCTTCCTCATGTAGATCCCCTTTTAACAAAATTTCACCCTTACTGTGTCCCTTTCTCTTTTTTCTTAAAATTTATAAAATATTATAAAATATCTATATTTATAAAATATCTTAATAAAACCTAAAGCTCTATTTGAATTCAAAGATGCTCTTCAGAAAACTCAGGGAACGCAACCAATTCCTGGACTGTTTAAGCACAGACAAACCAGGGGAAACTAAAATTCTCATTTTTTTTCTTCTATCTTCAACCTCTTCTTAATCTCAATGTTCACAACCACCAAGGTGACACATTATTATAGATGCATCTATTCTTCTTTAGCCATCGAGTCTCTGTCACGATGTGCATAAGATAGTGACATGGCCCAGCACAGGAAAAATGAAATGACCCATGAATGGGCACTAGGCACAGGGTGAGATGAAATATGGACCAAATCAGAAAGGAAAAATTCTCTTTCCCACCATTCCAACCAGAGTGACAATGAAAGCGAAGACAGAGCAGTAAGACTCTCAGTGTCTTGAAAAATGAAAGCTGGGAAGAACATTGCTTTTGGCCCAAATTTCTCTACTTGATCCTAATGATACTGGAATTCTTTTCATAATATTCATTTATTTGAAGTAGCATCACATCAACTACTTCTCCAGACTAAATAATTAGAATTTCTTTACCCTTTTCTCAATCAATGTCAAAGTTATAATATATACAAGATTTTTAGAGCTTCTTTGTTTAAATCATGAATTAATTTATGCATTCATATTTTGGATCCTCATTGAGCTAAATATTTCAATTGAGTGGTAAAATCCGTTTTGGTGACTATGGTATTATTTGAATGTTGAATAATTATATTCCAGTATGTCTTCCCTCTTTGTTAGTTTGTTTTTCCCTACTACATTTGTATTGCAGCCTTGCCTCACATTAATAAGTGTGCTACGAAAATATAATCGCTTTTGGCAAAGAGAGATTCTGCCTGAAATATTTTTATGACTTCTCAATATGGCAAATTTAGGCATTAAAGTAAATCTTTCTGTCACAATTAATGCTTAATCTGGATTTTTGTAGCAATAACAGACCTACATTAGACTGTATTTATTTAAGTAAATGCCACTTTCCCCAGGGGTTCATAGTCATTGTGGTACAACTCAATACACTGATGGCCCAATACCTTTTCTAGCTGTTGGTTATCTTTCTGTCTCAGGGTTACCATTGAACTTCCCTGGATAAAATATTTCTTCTTTCTTTGCAGTTGACAGAGTCTAGAATGCCCAAGGAGAACTGATGGTCCAAAATGCATTGACATTCTAGAACCCTGAGAAAAATTTGATCCATAATGACATATGTTTCTTTAGGTTAGGTCTTCTGGTTTAATAACTACTGTCCCCTATAACTTGACCTACCCCATCTTCATTGAAGGCTCTTGTTTTTTAACTAACATAAGTCATCCAAACTGTTTTTGAAAAGTCTTTTGAAAAGTTGGCAAGTTCTAGAAAATATGCTGGTAAAAACAAGCACGTAGAATATTAAGATGGAAGTGACCACAGAGATCATCTAGTATTATGGAATAGCAATATAATATGTGTCCCATATGTAATTTAAAATTTTCTAGTAGCCATTGGAAAAAGTAAAAGGAGATAAGAATAGTTAATTTTAATAGATTTTATTTAATGTTATGCATCCTAAATGTTATTATTTCAATATGCACACTATAAAAATAATAATGAGATATCTTACATTCCTTTTTTTTCCCATCCTAAGGCTGCAAAATCCAGTGTTTATTTTCCCTTTCCAGTACATCTCATGTGGACCAGACACATTTCAAATGCTCAACAGCAAATGGATAAGGCCTATCATACTGGACAGTGATGAACTAGACAATTCCCTTATTTTTGTAGCTGTAGAACCCACACCAAGAAAGGACACATGGCACTGGGGCATCAGCCAGTCAGTGTGAGAGCCAGATTTACACCCAGTGCTCTGGCTTCCAGTTCAGCACTCTGTCATAGAGCAAACACGGTGGTGAAAATAGGTCTGGGGCCTCAAAGAGATGGTAAGCACTCACTTAAGATAATAAAAATCATCCAACTTTGGATGAGTACCTACTATCTTCCAGACATCAGACTAGGCACTTTATCAATGCTATTCAAAACAACCTTGCAGGATAGAGAATTTATCCCTGTTTTCAGAAAAATCTATCCGAGCTCAGAAATAATCAGTCACTTCCGAATGGCCAAGCTTAGATTTGAAACCAGTTCTGCAGACCACAAAGCCTGGCATCTTTCTCATACATCTCAAGCCCTTTCTCTCCCATCTAAGACCCTCTAAGACTGTGACTCTAAGCATGGCCCGAGGACTAGCAGCATCCATGCCACCTGGGGGTTTGTTAGAAATGCAGAATCTTAAGCCTCATTCCAGACCTACACACTGCATTTCATCAAGATCCCAGGTGGCTTGTATGAAATCTCAGACAATTCAACAACATACCTAATCTCTCCATGAGTTGAAAGAATTTTCCTAGGAAAATAGTAGATTTGTACCTTATCAGCCATATTACAGATCATGAGAAACACTTTTTGGGTTTGATTTGAAAATTGCGAAGAAAAGAGCTAGCTTGGACCTTTAGGGAAGAAGGAAAAGAATCAAAAGTTTAGTTAAAATGAGTTTCCAGAACTCAAGTCTTAAAATTATAAGCCGTTTCATCTACCACCATAACACCTGCCTCCTCTCTCTTAAGCTCTCCTATTCTTCCTATGCCGTAGGTGTGTGAACCTCTGTTCCCACCAAATTCCTTGAGTGAGAGGGAAATCTTAATTTATTTGGATAGGAGTAAGTCAACATTACACAGGGAAAAGTGATGCAAGGGTGTTTTTACCACACACCACACACAAAAAGCAATGAATTGGCCTAATAGAATTGTCAAGATGTGGTAGTTCATGGCAGGACTTACAACCCACCATGTTCTGGCTCCCAAGAGCTTGGTCCATTTCTTCAAATTGGGCTCTAGCTGAGATTTCTGTAGTATTCCTAAACATGCCTCTTGCTGTTGAGTCAAAGGCTGGTTGTGTATTCATCCTGAATTTCTTCAGTCACATTTTCAGTGTTTTCTTCCTGTGCTATGATGCCCTTGGCTCTTTCTTCCTTTGGCATGAGGCAGTTAATGGAGCAGGTGTTAATGCACCTGGACATTCTGGGCGGCAAGGGAATGACGGGAGCAACATAGGCTCACTCCAAGAGGTTGCATCTGCGTGAACCCTGTCTAGTGAGGTGTTTTCCCCTTTCTCATTTCTTAACTCGTTGGGGGCATTGCTGGCTATTTTTGTCCTTTAGAAAACAAGAGCAGCGCGATGGGTAAAAGCAGGGCTTCTGACCAATATTTCATCATGTCATCCAGGGACCTCGCAAGCTGTGTGTTAAAGAGATGAACAGTGGCATGGCAAAAAAGCAAGCCTGGCTTATAAAGAACAAAATCAAGGCTTTTTACGCTGCAGTGGCGGCAGATTGTTTCAGAGATGGTGTCCGAAGTCTCCTTCAGGTAAGGCTGGCGCTGAAGGGATGAGTATGGAGGCAAAAGACAATTAGCACCCTCCTGTTGATGAGCTCCCCTAGTGAACGGCTCCAGTTAGGCAGCACAGCCTCGGAGACCAATGCGGATGGTTAAGGAATTCATTTCGAATTCCTGAGGAGAGGCAAATCTAAAACAAAAGCAGAGAGGGTCTATTACAATGAACTATGGGTGATAGGCTGGAAATGGAAAATGAGGTTGCCTTTGGCCACCAGCATACATTCTGTCCCCACACTTATTGAAATGCAAATCTGTTCTGATGGTTGACGACATTCAGGATCCTATTAAAACTTCAAACTATTTTTGCATCTCATACTGCATATAGCAATACTCAAGTCAGGCATTCTGCTCCTTTTTTCTTCTGCAAATGGCGTGAGGGCAAGCTGCTAGATTCGACTAAATAAAGGCATGGGGATCTGGGCGTAAGATCTCCCTATCCCCCTAAATTATTTCCAGAATGTTGAATAAAATGTAATAATCTCTGTGGCTCCATGCTAAAACCTGCAGTTCTTTTCTTCCTTATTCTTTCCTTTTTCCTCCCCTTCCATAATAAGTACATAGAATCTTTCTGATCATAACTTAGAATGGTGAAGTATCCTTAAAACAATCCAAGGAGACCCTCAGAAACTGTAGGGCTTGGCTTTCTAATCATTTTGGCTTTAATGTGGTTGGAAAGCCCTGATTCTACATATAACCAAGTTATGTATTCACTTTCAGAGTTACCATTTCCAGGAGTGTCAAAATTCAGGACGGCGTCCAGTAACTCTGATGCTTATGCAGGCTGGAAAGAAAAAATTGATTAAACTGTAGTATTTTGGGGATTAAGAGTACTTGGTGCATTCCTGTCTCTAATATTCCTGAAGAATTCTTGCAAAGTAGCTGCACACGCAGAGAAACCATTTCTGAAAGACCTATTACCCCCAATGAGTATCTTTTCATCTGTTATGAATTTGTTAGGCCATGTAAATAGATGCCATTTTAAGAGGCTGACTTTTTTTGTAGCAAGTTCCTTTTCAATAGCTCTTCGGTGAAATATGTTGAGAAAGTTACACATTTCAGGTAAAATTATCACAAAAGATTGGTAAATAAAATTTTCAGTGAGGAATGGGTGGACTAACATGGAATAAGCAGGGAGATAAAAGACAGGTCTGGAAAACAATTGTTATATGAATCTGGAAGAAAATGTAAAAATAATTTAACAATGCAGAAAGCTTGTTCACTTGAATTTGCTCAAAGAAACGTGGAGTACAGAGGGACCAGGACAAAAGGGCAGGACAGGGCAGTATTAAAGGGAAACACGGGGGTCATTACATCATTTTGGATAAAGCCTCCTTTGCATCTAAGAATTAATGGTACGAATGACCACATCCCCAAACTATAGTCACAAAAAAGTTGAGCTCCATCCTGCCAAGCACCAAATGAGAACTCAAGGAGTTGTCCTGCTACCTGTACAATTCTAGGAGAAACACAACAAATGTGGGGGCCGGAGCCCTCCCATTGATACCCATCTCCTCCTGCTTGCTACTGCCCCCTTCAACATGTCCCACTCTGATCACTGGTTTCACTCTTCCTGTGACCCAGAGTGTCCTTCTTTCACTCCCACTGCTCTCCTTTCTATGCTTGTCAACCTCTCACCAACCCGTAAGATCTGGAACAGATGTCACCTCCCCCCTGAAGCCAGCCATGAATCCACAGCTGGAACTCAAGGTTTCTTCCTTTAGGCTTCCATATGAGTTCCTACTGCATGTGCACTTGAATTATAATTATCTCTGTATATCTTGCCTCCTTCACATTATTCTAAGCTCTTTAGGGCCAAAGAATATGCCTCACTGCTCTTCCACAGCACCTACCATAACACTTTGCAATTAATAGGTGCTCAATGATATTGCTGAGTGAAGTTTAATTAACTGGAAGCCATATCCCGCCATCTAATGGGGGAGAGTGAAACCTGAAGTGGAAGATGACTATTCACGATACTGTCCTGCAAGAGGATTAGGTCCTAGAGACATAGCTCACTTACTCTTCATGAAATAAAACAAGGCGAAGTTTCAGTGATCCTTGCATCTAAGCATTTTCCAAACATGGATTTTATTGTTAATGACATTATGGATAAAACAGGTGGAAATGAGCTTTGAACCACTAAGTTACAGCATGCACGCCAACGGTTAAGCCGACCCTCACTTGATTTTAAATTATTGAACCATTTTAATGAGTGTGTCAGAAGAAATGCAAATGACTGCTAATTTAGAAAAGCTACATTTCTGTCATCTAAAATCCATTTATGGCTGAGATGATTTAGAACTAATCTTTCTATTTTATGCTTGGGTACGGGCATGAAGGACATGCACTAAAATGTAATCTCATCTTCAGAAATCTTCAGGACATTACTCCAGTGCTCTTGTGGACATTATTTTTCATTTGCAGTGGTAGTTTCCTGGTATGGAAAGGATTGCCCATGTGTTTATCTCCTCTGTTTAGGCCTCGGGCTTAGGAAGAATGAAACCAAACACTCTGGTGATTGGATTTAAAAAAAACTGGAGGAAAGCTCCCTTGACAGAGATTGAGAACTATGTGGGAATCATACAGTAAGTGATGGCTTTTGGGACGTGTTCTTGTTTACAAAGTACTAACCAGGGCAGTACATAACAGGTTGTTGTACCAGATTAAATTGCCTGAGAAGAAGACATTCCCCTGGTACCCTGAATTCTCTACCAAAGTGAAAAATCACTGCTGCTAGTAGAACTGCATGGGATCGTAGTGTCTGAGGAGGCAGGGTGGAGGGAACTGGATGTCAAAGAAAAAGGTAAATAGTAGGGGTTACAATCTTGAAACCTATTCACAAGATGAAGAGCAAAGGACAGCTAGGTGAGGAAGGAAATGCTCTTTCAGAACACCGGGGAACTTGGGTTGGCTGGTGTGCCCAGTTCAGTCACTGTCTTCTCCTGAGCCTTGGATCAGGAGTTTATTACCCCAGAGCCTCGGCTCCCCCTTTGCTGCCATGAGGCTGTCATGTATCAGTGCCTCTGTGTTGGTTTAAGAACAAAAAGTGAGGGGCGCCTGGGTGGCTCAGTCGTTAAGTGTCTGCCTTCGGCTCAGATCATGAGTCCAGGGTCCTGGGATCGAGCCCCGCATCGGGCTCCCTGCTCCGCGGGAAACCTGCTTCTCCCTCTCCCGCTCCCCCTGCTTGTGTTCCCTCTCTCGCTGTGTCTCTCTCTGTCAAATAAATAAATAAAAATCTTTAAAAAAACAAAAAGAAAAACAAAAAGTGAGTTTTAAATGGAACGTGACATCTCATATCTAAATATTGGGGAAGTCTTGGGACAAGGGCAATAATGATAGTCCCAAAAAGACTAGCAGGTCACAGGCTCGTGTCCTCGACATGAATTATCCTGTTTAATTCTCCCAAAAAGCCTTTGTAGTACTAATACTTTTCCCGTTTTATAAGTAGAGATACAGACGTTAAAAATTAAGTAACCTGCCGAGGATGACAGTGTTGTGACAAAGCCGGAATTGCCCCCCAGGACAATCGAATTGAGAGTTTAGACTCATGACCACAATGCTCTGCTGCCCCCAAAAGTACATGTAAAGCCCAAGTATTATCTGGCTTGTTTCCTTCTTCTGAATAAGAGAAAACAAATTCTTCCCATATAGAAAGTCTCAAAGTGTCTTCAGTCACCATTCTCGAAAACTGAGCCTTTCTCCCAGGCTTAAAAATATTTAACCAGATTTGTCTCACCGGGGGGCAAGGTTAGCTATGCTAACAGCCATCTTTTGTCAACAGCTCTGAAAATGGAAGAGTTCCCGTCTGGAGTCTGGCTTTGCTCTGATTCCATACCTCAGGGCAGAGACTGTGCCCCACGAAATCTGGCTGCACTTTAAAAATCTGTAATACACAGGAAAGAAAGCCTTACCCCTTCAAAACAAGCATATACATACACAGTGCTTCTTGTACCAGGCTGGGTTGCTGGCCCCTGCTAGAGTGAGCATCATATTTATCATTATCTGGGGGAGACTTGGGGAACATTACAAAAGCATTCTAGTATTAGTTTATTGAAAAGAAGTATAAGAAGATCATTTTCATCTTCTGAAATTTATATGCATTACTGACCAAACAGAAATTCACTTGATAATCTTCCTAACATAGAGAACCTGTGTATTAAATGCATTCTCCCAAATTGTGTTTCCCAAAGGTATGAAGCCTGGATGCCACCTGCTGCCATGTGGCCCCTGCTGGTGCCCTGAGTTCAGTAGGTTAAGGCCAAAGCAGGTGCTCAGGGTCAGAATTTTACCAAGCTCAGCAACCAGCATTTTGATATATTTAGAATCACAGTCCGTTGCTCACCATTCTTGGAAACAGATCAGATCCGCTCTCCATAATCCAGATTCTTCAGTAAAATTTCATCTTTACCCCGGGGTGGGGGGTGGGGGGAGGCAGGGAATAAAGGGGTGGAGAGGAAAGAAATTTCATCTTCATCTTTGGAAGAAAAGGGTTGGAGCAAACAGGAAGACATATGTAAACCTTCAGTCATTAAGCATCCATTAGTTGATACAAAATTATCTGGGGTCATCTTCCAACCTCCTCACCATCCCAAACATTCTAGGAATTCAAAGGGACCAAAATAATCAAACCCAGTAATATTAGGCCAAGGAGACTTCTGGTTTTTATACCAAATTAATAATTGGTCTTCTCGGTAGTAAAGTTCAATGTTAAGGTGGCTCAAATTTGTACTAGTATAAAACTCAGCTCAGCTTGTGATGACTTTACTACCATAGCAGTGAGGTCAACACAGAAGGAAGACAATCATATATCCACATTGTATTATATTTTCTCTTTCTGTTTTTTTTTTTTTTTATGACTTAAAGCAGTTAACAGAAGGATATTATTACAATAGTATATTTTATCATTTTTCTTTGAATAAAAGATTTTAAATGTTTAGAATATGCTTACATATGGTTTGACTTTAATTAGAATATGTATTGATTTTCATTGGCTGTTGTAAAAAAAAAATTACCTCTAACTTAGTGGTTTAAAACTCTACAAATTTCATAGCCTACAGACGTGTGGGCTAAAAATCTGACCCTAATTCACTGGGCTAAAATCAAGGTGTGGGCTAGGCTCTATCCTCTTTTGGAAGCTCTAGGAGAGAATCCCTAGCCTTGCCTTTTCTAAGTTCTAGAGGCAGCCCACTGCTCATGGCCCACTTCCTCCGTCTTCAAAGCTCTTGAAGGGTCAAATCCTTCTCATTATTACTCTGACCTCCTCTCCTGCTTCCCAAATGCTCTTTAAGGAGCCTGGTGATGACACTGGGCCCTGACAGATAACCTAAGTTAATCTCCTCATCTCAAGGCCCCTAACTTAATCATATCTGCAAAGTTCCTTTTACCATGTAAGGTGACATATTCACAGGTTCCAGGAATGAGAATGTGGAGGTCTTTGGGGGGGTTGAAATTATTCTGCCTAACACAAGATCCAAATATTTTTTGTGGAACACATTGTCTACTTTTTATGATGAAGGACAATTAGAAACAAGATTTCTCGGGAATTTATTTTCTAGCAACTTTTGCTAGAATGGGTCTATGTTGCTTGGTGACGATCACTTATGGTTTGAATGTTGAATGGATGTTCATATTACACTGAATTTGTTTATATCATTATTTGAAAATTCAGGTTCACTTTGGCTATTAGAAACTTGTGTGACAATCACAAACTGCATTATTTCTGGTAGAGGGTCACGTTCAGTGGGAAGGGTACTAGGCTTTAGATCCATTCGAGACTGAACAAAGGAACCTCCAAGGAGAAAATTTTAAATAAATTCAAAGTACTAATTGGTTTGCCCCATATTTAGGAGCAGAGAAAAAAAAATTCTACAAGAACAGACATAAAAGAAAGAGAGCCTTTCTTTTCCTTCTAGAGAATCTAATTCTGTTGGGTTGAGTGTAGAGAAGGCAACAGCCAACTTTAATGGCACAGGATTGCCATGAAAAAGCATTGCTTCAAATGGTCTGCCCAGAGTCAATGGTGAAAGTTCTTTGGAGGAACCAGAGATATTTTTAATCAGGAACTTGATGTCAGAAATGCTGTAGGATTCTTTCTCAATAAGTAGGGATTTGGCTCATAATTTCAAAGAGTCTTTGTAGCCTGGAAACTCTCTGTTCTAAATATGTGCTTACATTAGAAAAGAAACAATTATTTTAAAAGTATGTGACAAGCTCTTAATCAAAATTCTAGGTGACAGTATTATTTGAAAAAATTGGTTCCAGAGTAAATGACTTAGTTACCTTTATCCAGAATACATTTTTAAAAAGAAGAAAAGGAGAAAAACAAACCAACAGAAGCAGCATCGCTCTTGGCTATATTCTAAAGTGAATTTTCATAGTTTAGTTACATTAAAATCTTAGCATTGAGAATCTTAGGATCTCTTATTATTAGTACAAATCCTCAGGATTAAAGGAGTCTTTTAAATCACTAACTACTTTGCTTCCACTTTCAGTGATGCGTTTGACTTTGAGATTGGTGTGGTCATAGTCAGAATCAACCAAGGGTTTGACATCTCTCAGGTTCTTCAAGTGCAAGGTATGTACTTTCTTTATTCAACCAACAAATATTTATTGAGCACCTACTCCATGCCCTGGCCTTTTTCTAGGTGCTGGGGATAGAGCAGTGTACAACACAGACAAAACCCCCAGTGATGGAGCTTACTTATTCTTGTGCTGACCTGAAGTGTGTCCACTTTCCCAGTGCTTTCCCCATTACTAACACAAAAGGCCTTTGTCCTGCTAAACAGAAATATAGAATAACCCAGGGCAGTCATAAATTATTCTTCTTATCACCAAACTACAAAGCCAGCATCATTGAAAATAAATACCTTTGGTAAAATAACTGCCAAATTAATTTCTGCAAGATGTTCGAGAAAATGAAGATTAATTCTTCCCTTGAAAAACCATGTATTTTGTTTTTTAAGAGTCTATGATCTGGTTTGCAACTAACATGGAAATTAGTCTGAATGTATCATGCTGTGAATCACTAATCTAAGTCCAAGGCAGAAACACTAATTCAGATTAGTGATTCTGCTTTTCCCTATAGAGGATTTAGTACACTTGTTTAATCTTAAGAGTTTAAACATACGCTCTTCTGTATGAAATAAAGGACACATCTAAAGAGTCATTGAACCATTAGGACAGCGCACTCATTCGTGACTTATTTCTTTAGATGAACTTCAAAATAGAATCCACTGATGACTGACACTAAAACAAAGGGCTATTTTTTTTAGGTGTCTCTTGTGCACCAGGTATGGTGTAAATGACAGTGCTGGGTAAACCAAGGCTAATAAAAGTCTATATCCTCAAGAGACTCACAGCCTAGAAATGGGAATGGGTATATCATTCATGTGCCAATAAGCATATCAATAGAGTATTATGGGAAAGAGAGAAGGGCATCTGACTCCAAGAAGTCTTTCTGGAGGAAATTACCCTAGAGATGATTAGAGTTAAGTAGGCAATGTTGGGCAAGAGAGAAATGAGAGAGTTTGGGGAACAACATTCCTGGCAAAGAGGAGAGCATCAGCAAAGGAATGAATACATGAGATTATGGAAGAATGGGTTATATGGGCTACCCAGAGTAGATTCATGTTACTGAAGTAGAAAGTATGAACAGACAATAGTGAAATTTGAGGCTGCTGATATAAGATCCTAATTTTAAAAGCCTCATTTGCTGCATTAAAAAGTGTGGGCATATTCTGCGGACAATGAGGAACCATTGAAGAGTTTTAAGTGAGGGGACATGGACTCAAAGGGGACTAGAATGGAAACAGGGAGACAAATCAAAAATCAAAAACATTTTTATGATAATCAAAGGCAGAGAAGGCGACAGCCTGAACTAGAGCCAGGGATGGAGAGGAAAGGACAGGAGTACTTTGGAGGCACAGAGAGCAAATGTGGGGGTTGGTTGGATGTGTGGGATATGGGAAAGGGAGGAATGAAAAAGACCCCTTAGCTGACTACATGAATGGTGGTGCTGCCTGTGGAAATGGGAAACACAGAGGAAGAATAGGTTTAAATAATCTCTTATGGGAAATTCTACCAGAAATATCCAATAGGCAGTTAGACAGTCCTGGTCTTAAAGAAGTGTGAGCTGGAGATGCAGATTTAGGAGATGTTATGCACCAAACTATTTTCTATGAATTCTATGGTGAAGTCCTAACCTCAGAATGTGACTGTATTTGGAGACAAGTTCTTTTAAGAGGTAAGTCAGATAAAATAAGATCACTAGGGTGGGCCTTAATCCAATATGGCTGGTGTCGTTATGAAAAGAGATTAAGACACAGACAAGCACAGAGGAAAGGGAAAAGACAACCATCTACAATCCAAGGAATGAGGCTTCAGAATGAAACCACCCTGCCAACACCTTGATCTTGGACTTCTAGTCTCCAGAACTGTGAGAGAATAAATGTCTGTTGTTTAAGCACCCAGTCTTTGGTATGTGTTATGGCAAGCCGAGTGGACTGATACAGAAGACATCATAGATCAGGTAAAAATTGAAACAAGGACACTGGAAAAAATAATCCAAAGAGTGCATCTAGTCAAGAGCCCTAAGACACAGGGTAAGAGCCCCAAAGAAGGAACAGAAAGGAGTGTTCAGAGAGGTAAAGGAACCAGGAATCTGTGGTGTCATGGAAGCCATGCGAGCATGGTGCTCAAATAAGAATCATCATTATTGTCAAATACAGCAGGAAATACCAGTAAGATTGTGAATGAAATGCAATTGACAAGGCAATTGATAATTGATAATCTTAGTGAGACGAGTATCTGTAGACAGTGCTGACAGGATCCAGATTGCAGTGGGCTGAACACAAAATATGAGATGATGAAGCAGAGAATATGGGTGTGACCCACCACTTTGAGAAGTTTGGATGCAGTGGGGAGGAATGAGATTGAGGAGATTTACCATAGGAAGACCCATCAACCTTAGAATGGAAGAGAGGGGGATGTTTTCAGACTGAGGAAATGGGCCCAAGAGAATACGGGCAATTGAAGGTGGAGGTAAAAAAAAAAAAAAAAAAGGATGACCCATGGAGTAAGATTCTGGAGGAACAGGATGAATCAAGAGAAGGGCGTGGATTGGGGCGCCTGGGTGGCTCAGTTGGTTAAGCGACTGCCTTCGGCTCAGGTCATGATCCTGGAGTCCCGGGATCGAGTCCCACATCGGGCTCCCTGCTCAGCAGGGAGTCTGCTTCTCCCTCTGACCCTCCCCCTCTCATGCTCTCTCTCTCTCTCATTCTCTCTCTCAAATAAATAAATAAAATCTTAAAAAAAAAAAAGAGAAGGGCGTGGATGAAAGCAGGGGCTTGAAACAGGAAAAAAAAAAGCTTCATCTTCTAATATTAGAGCAAAAGAGATAAGGATTAATTATGAGGTATGCAGATTTGAAAGAGTGGAGTGGTAGATTGAGGAAGATTGTGCACAGTGCTCTCAGTTCTCTTTGAAGATGGAGCAGTCTTGCTAGTTGTCCAGTTTTTGTCTAGCAGCATTTGGTCTCCAGGTAGAGGAGGCTCAGGATTTTGCTGGATCTGTTCAGCAGAAAGGAAAAGCCTGCAAGAGATCCAAGAGGGCTGGTGCCTGATGGTCCAGATTCTATTTGGCCATGTAGGATTGTCTCCATCATAGCAGAAGGCGGTGTGAGAGGATGAGGTGAACTTCCTGATGCAGCCATGCTGGTGTGTTGTAAGGGAGGAGAAAGAAGACGAAATTGGAGATCAAGCGTTTATATAGGCTAGAGGACCACTGTCTGATATGAATACTCTATGATTATGTAGGAAGAGCTTTAAAAAATAAAAGTGAGAGTCTATCCTGTGCAAAATTGTAGCAAAGAGGATAGTCTGGTGCCTTCAGGCTTCTTTTTTTATGCCCCTATTCTCTTTTATGGACATTTTACATCTCCAGATGGATATACTAATTCCCATTCAGTGTTCATGATTAATTTATAGTTCTTTCTAGTAGAACTTAATACATTAGCAGCAACAACAGCTAACATTTTTTTAAAGTAGGCTCCATGCCCAACATGGAGTTGAACTCACAATGCCAGGATCAAGAGTCGCATGCTCTGTGCCCAACCAGGTGCCCTTAACCATTTTTGAGCATTTATTATGCGCCCTGTATATGCTTCATGTTCACATATAACACTTGTCATCCCAACTACCCTATGGAGAAAGCACTATCTTTGTCCCCGTTTTACAGCTAATAAATTGAGGTTTACCCAAGATTCACAAGGCTAGCAATTGGTAGAAGTACGATTCAAACCTATGTCTGTTTGAAACTGCTATTCTATCCTTTAAGAAGGAGACCTAGAGAGAACAATGACTAAGATAAGGAGAGCCAAAGTGAAATCTGAGATATGGGAATGGAACAATTCCTCAGGGGGGGGGGGGGTGCCTGTCTATGATAAGTTAGACATGATGTTAAGGACAATTACAAAAATCTAATATTAAGAGATCTGTTCGTTGCTAACTTTCTACATTTTGCTTTAACTTTGTTGCCTTTTGTGCTATAATGTTTTCCCATCTAAAAAATGAGAATACAAAATACAGTTTGTATTTAGATTACACGTTTGCTTTGTACGTTATGTTGATCTCTTCAAGCCAAAAGATGTGATGTAGCTGGAAAATATTGCTCCCACCTTTACTGCTCCATCCGCCAAAATGGCACCGTCAGTTTAGTCCTGTAAGGCGATACAGCAAGCAAATTTTGTAGTATTTCTGAAAGAATCCTGGCCGTGAACTGCATCCCCTTTTAATTTCCCAAGGGATGTATCCAATTTATATCAACTTTGATGTTTGAAATCTTTCTGCTTCTTAGTCAAGAAAGGAAAAATACAGTTGGATGTTAATAAAATAATTATCAGTTCCAATTATCTAGGGTAAATAAAAAACAGGGTTATACAAATACATAAAGAACATGCAGAAAAACAACAGCATAATGATAGAAATTAACTTTATGCCACATTTCCATGCATTGTTTTGAAGTTTATGTAATCTATGACACCACCCCCATATTAGATTTTGAATTGGAAGAAATAAGCTTGTGTTTCATTATATTATACTGTAATATAGGGCTTAATAAGAGCCTGATAAATCTTAAGTATTGCATTACACTATGTTAATGATTATCATCATAGTTTTTCCAACACAGGCACGACAGTGTCATCACAGATTATAATTTAAAGGAAATATTAGCAATTCAGAGTGCCTATATACTGTAGTTAATAAAGCAGTGAATAGAAATCAGTTTTATAGGTAATTTACCAGCTAATGACAGTTATTTCTATACTGTGTCACAGGCTTATGTGAGGAGAATAACTTTTGTATATAAATAAGATCAATGCTCATAACATTCTAACTTGTATACCGCAGCAACTCTTCCAATACCGATGGCTGATAGTTCTCTTAATAAATCAATTTATTGACTGACAACACCAAAAATGTGATATTTCATATTGTTGGCCTCCCAGAGGTATTTAGCAAGTTTGCCAACTACAACAAAGAGTCCAAATTGTACTGGTAGGAAAAAGTGATGAAACGT